GAGTTTCGTTAGAGACATACCATGGGGCATCAGCAATAGTGCGCAACGTCCTGCTTTGCAGAACCTGCAGACTTCGCATGTGTGTTTTAGCAATAAAACACCAAGCCGCACATGCGTAAGTCATTGCTGGTCTTATGACCACCTTATAGAGTCGAATCTTGTTAATCAAACTTAATTTTGACCGTTTACATAATAATGGGTAAAGCTGCCGAAACGTAATTTGGAATTTAGTTTTTAGCGCTTCCATATGGTTCCGCCAAGTCATTCCTTTGTCCAGAATGACACCGAGATACTTAGCGGAGGATTCCCATGGTATACGAAGTCCATTCATTGAAACTTCAGACGGAACGCCGCGACGTCTTTTTGTACAGTAGATTGCCTGCGTTTTCGAATGGTTTATTTTAATTAGCCACCGATCCGCCCAATCTAATACTTCTTCCACCGCACTTTGCAGCCTGTCATGGATTAGGTCACCAGACCACGACTGAGCCACCAATGCAGTATCGTCAGCATAGAGATAGACTTCACAGTTGCTGGGACTAGAGACGTCATGGATGTACAGTGAGTAAAGGATAGGTCCAAGGACCGAACCCTGAGGGACGCCGGCTTTATACAAGAGGCCCGCGTGCCACACCTTGTCAAATGCTTTTGAGACATCCAAAAGCAAGATGCCAGTACTTTCGTTAAGGGTGAATCCTCTGGTTACACGTTCCATCAGCCTAACCGCCTGTAGCTCCGTACTATGTTCAGACCGAAAACCGAATTGCACGTCAGGAATCACATGGTGATCTGACGAGAAATTCTCAAGGTGACGTAGAATCACCTTTTCAGCGAGCTTAGACGCAGCTGACAGCAGGCTAATGGGACGATAATCCTGGGGAAATATCGAACCCACCTTCTTTGGAATCATTATAACTTCAGCGGTCTTCCACGTGGATGGGAAGTACTGGATCCTTAGAATGCCATTGACTATTGCCACGAGATAAGTTAAGGACTTCCGCGAAAGCAGCTTCAGCGCCTTATTAGTAATTTGATCCTCCCCAGGTGCTTTACGCACTTTAAGGTCTTTAATATGACCTTGAATCTCTGCTGGTGTGCAATGCGGGATCTCAGGAGATACCGCTGATGTGCTAAGCAAATCTTCGGTTGAAGAAGCTTCTGAAGAAGAATCTTCCGATGAAGAAAAATCACCAACGAATGCGCGACTGTCACTGGCGCCGTTGGCCCTAAAATATCTCCTGACAGATCTTACGATGTGTTGCTCCTCGTCGAGGTCATTATCAAGATCATAGTTGGGAGAGAACTGTCTTTCCATGGCATCGGCGAAAACCTCAACCTTCTCCTCTGTCCTGAAGACAATGCCCCCAGGAGAATGTGTGGGATTTGTTCACGCTTTCCGTTTTTGAGCGACTTCGCCACCTTCCAGAGAGGAATGCTTGAGTCAAGCATCCCCGCCAGAAAGTCGTTCCATTGCTCATTGCGGAATTCATGAAGAGCATTTCTTACTTCATGAACAAGATTCGTCGCTCTGCGAATGTCATCAGGATGACAAGACCTTTTCGCTTGCTTAATTGCAGCTCTTTTATCAGAAATTTTCTGACGAATGCCTGTTGGCAGAAAAGGTCTGCCGTGTCGCTGCACGGGAAGTACAGCTGCACGCTGCAGAGTTTGCTGAACAAAACTTGTCCACTCTGCTTGAGCCGCATCTATACCGTTCTCATCATCTATGATCGGTATATTGGGGAACTCTTTGAGGAGCGACTTGTATAGCTCCCAATCAATGCGTTTCCTTGGAGGGATTTCATTCCCCAAGATCTGCTCATTAGCCACTTCCAAAACGACGGGAAGATGATCGCTTGAGATGTCATACATGATTCGAGAAGTGATACTGTAGCTACAGTTTTTGGATAATGCCAAATCAAGAACATCAGGTGTCTGAAGGTGATTAAATGGGTGGTGCGTCGGCTCCTCAGTACTATGTATGAGGTAGCCATTTCGTATCACGTGGTTGTACAGTCGGATCCCACTGGTGGAATTCAACCTGGAATGCCACGCTCGATGTTTGCAGTTGAAGTCCCCTGCCACAATAAGTGGACCCGAGTAGTCTAAAAGGACTTCCAGATCCGCCTCTTGCAGCCTGTTACCACACCTGACATACACCGATGTGATTTTTAACGGCACACCTCCCATCATATTGACCACCACGGAAGCCGCTTCGATGCTCTGCATGTCAGCGTTTGTGCTTCTGTGGTAGTCAATACCGCGTTTCACTAGCACTGCCAAGCCGCCACCCCGTCCAGTCAATTTATCAGCCCGGATAACATCGTAATTCGGGAAAGCTAGACGATCTCTCGGATTAAGTAATGTTTCCTGCAGCAAGGCCACATCTATACTTTCGTCCACAAGAGCTTGATGAAATTCCCGTCTTTTGGGAATGTCCCTTAGACCCAAACAATTCCAAAAAAGAATTTTGATAAATGCAGGCTGTCGTCGATTGTACCTAGCCATTTGAGAGGACCTATGATCTGCTGTAAGGACCTTAGCGCGGTTGCCAGGTCCACATTTTGCGTGTTCGCAGAAGATCCACAGAGGGGGCAGTCCGGGTTGCATCCCTAGCTGCATCCGCGTAACTTACATTGCGCCTTTGCGCTATCACTTGTAGATTTTTCTTAGGGGCAAATCTGCAAGTTCGGCTATTCGCTGGATGCCCCCCTCCACAGTTCGCGCACTTTCGTTCCTCTTGTTCTGTTTGAGGGCATAAGTGGGTCATGTGGTCAGAAGCACATTTTAGACATTTAGGTGGTGCAGTGCAGTAAGATTGCGCATGCCCATATTTTTGGCAGCGGTGACACTGCCCGATGAGTCTTGAGTTCTTTTGAACTTCGACTCGAATAGCCCAACCTAGCAGCTCGTGTTCGTTGAACAGCTGCTGAGATTTTTCTATCTTGGGCAGTATGACTACCACTAAAGGCATGGGCACGCCGCCACCGCGTTTCAGGCGAATTATGTGCAGGGGGGAATATCCCCTCTGTTGCAACTCTTCCTTGTTCTCAATTTCCGAAAGTGTCGCATGTACTCCTCTGATTACAGCATGAATGTTCCTCTCGGAGGGCAGAGGGAAAGTGTGATGGGGCACCTCTTCCTCCCTGAAGAGACGAATAATCCTGCGGTAATCATCCTCGGACTTGGGAATTATCCTGATTCCTGCATCGACGGCAACCGCGCGTTCGAATTTGATGCCCAAAGAAATAAACTTGTGATTTACGCCTCGCCATCTCGAAGCATCGCGAAGAACGATGGGGGTAACACGTACCTTGCGTGGGGGTTGTGCAGTCGTGTCTTCTGGTACCTGAGATGTCGAAAGCGTGGAAGTAACCGATAGATTAGGCACAGGCTGTTTATTCGAGTCGCTTGCAGTTGAACGAGACGTTTCAGACTGCGATTTTGGTGGAGGGAGAGGAGAAAAGCCTGTCGTGTCGGTCTTGTTTCGTCGCGTTTTACGGGGCTTAACCTTGGTAAAACCGTCAGGGAGTGTATCGTCGTCTGTGGAAAGATCGCTTGAATTATTTAACGGTCTCTTAAGATTGACAGCTTTGTCTTTACTGGGATTTTTGGGAAGTGTTTGGGAAGAATTTGTAATATTTAGATGGGAAGGTACCTGGGTTTTCAGTAGGAGGTCTAATTTAACTGTTAGGTCGGTAATTGTCCGCTGCTGGGCGTCGATGGTCATCATCAATCTTTCATTGATCTTCTTATCATCGTCCTTTTTTGACAGCTCCTGTCGAACCATCTCCAATTCGGCTCTCAGCTCCTCTATGGTCTGCTCCTTCAACTCCATCTCCATTGCCATGGTGGAAGCGCCATTTCCTGACCCCCTGAGTCATTTTCCATAGTAAATACCTCGGGTATCTCGCTTTTCGTCTAAAAAATTTTCCGGATCGAAATTACGGGACAGCTGCTATCAGTGCCCTATGCAGGGCGATATAAGGTCAGGATGTCTGACCATTCCGCTGGTTAAGCAACTTCACCAACAAATTCCATGGCAAAGAATATCTCAACCCTTAGACTGCAATATGCGGTACAATAGCTTAGAAAGTGGTACGATATCTCGTCCTCCTCTCGGCACATTGGGGCAAATAGAATCTCTTTTCCTACCTCAAAGGGATAAATCACTGTCCCGTCTACAGTAGGCGGAGATAGCCTCCACCAAAAGATTGGGCGTTTCTCTAAACAGTAGCCAGAGTAACTGACGTTTTTTGGAGGCTCCTATGAACCTCTTGGCCTGTCTGCAGTCATCTCCCTCTCGCCACCATTTTCTCATTTATCGGAGCGGTGTTGACCTTGCGCCTCCTTATACCTAGCCTAGGCTGAGCCGATGTAGGTGCTGTTGGCCCCCAGGCTAGCCAAGGAATGAGCTTTCTCATTATCCTGCACTCCGCTGTGGCCGGGAAACCCAACGCAGGATCACTTCTTCGGATCGTGCTAAACTTTGCTCTCCGTCACATCGCCGATCCTGGAGTGACCAACCACTGGTACTCGTGTCACAGACATGCCCTCCCGCTTTTCCATACTGTAATCTAGATCTTACCACTGTTGTGGTGTAAAACTAATGCACTAATTCAGGACCTTCAGTCTCAGTCATAAAGTCCTGCCAACTACCCACAGTACCTGCCACTTGGTTGTTATCGACTTCTTATAAGTATAGTCGACATGCTGCTTCCATTACAACTATTTCGTCGTACTGATGTATTTTCAAAGATTATCAGTTTGTCTTGAAGAAATCCTGTATAAAACTTTCGGCAATTGCTTAAAAATTATTACTTGTCAAACATGACTTAAAATCATCAACATTTCTGTAATGTTAAGTTTACAAAGATAATATTATACATTCCATACAAATCTTTTAAAATTTCCTGACACTTGGCATATATCTATTCAAGAGTTCATGAATTTCATACGGGTTTGCGAATCAAAAGGGAAATGAAATATTACACCTCAAAGACGGGAATTTTGTTAGTTTATATTTCCAAAATGTTAATTACAGTAAACCTTAATTTAAACATAAATCAAAGAAAACAGTTAAGATACTTGAAATTATGTTGTAAATGACAGAGGAAAAATACAGTCATTTGTGATTTCTCATATAAATCGCGCAAATAATCAGCCTATGACAATTTCTTAGCTTTTTGATAAAGCGTATCTACCACCTTGCTCATGCTCTGTATCGTTTCTAAAGCCATCTCGTACGTCTTGTCTACTGGAGTCTCTTCAAACACTATTAGAACACCTGCAACAAAAACATAAAACATTGAAAGCTCAACATTAATATCACATTAAAAAATAATTTTAGCTTTAGCTCAAAATACAATTTTCCCATTTTCAAGGTGGCTATGCAATTGACCTGAAAGTGATCAAAGCTATCAAATTACTATGGGAAATACAATACTCATATGTCTAGCAGACAGCTCGACCCAAATGTCCAAATTAAAATAGAAATTAGACTAAGAGCAGTTCAAATCTATTCTGAAGATACTAAAAAAACTACAATAGGCAACACCTAAAGAGACACCACAATGTGTTGAAGTGTACAGGGTGTTAATAATAGGTTGTAATCACAAGTGCGCATTCCTGAATCAAATTTATGTAGAAAAGTTCAAATGTACATGGTGTTCGGAAGGTCGACACCATCCATTTAAATGGTAATAATACACAGCCATCTGATACATAATGAGCCACATATGTAGTAGTAGTACGGACAATTTTGTGAAATCCTAGAAACAAGCCAAAATCATGCAATAAATCATCGCTAGTTCAATAACAAGGAGCAACTGCTTTGTTTTCTTATTATCTCTTAAAGTATAGTCTCCCTATACAGTTTCCAAGATTTCGAAATATCGCGTACACGTTATGAAAAATAAACTTGGTTTACTGAAAGGTTAGATTTTCCAGTGATTAATTGCTTTTCGAACGAATTTAACGAAACAATTTGGCAACACCGCAGCTTAAAATCACGTTCGTTAGTTCTTATGCTATGTCACATGAAGCAGACACAACCATATTTTTTTCCTCAATGACCTAAAATATTAGATCAAGCAGAATGCCATTAAAATTTAAAAAATAAATCCAGTTTTCCTTAAAAAATCACTTGATATTGACGAAATTCTTCAGTCGTAAATTGTTATTTTTTGTGTATGTTCGTGCCCTTGCTTCATATTTCTATCAGTCACTTTACTGAGAGTGATTCGGTTCCACAGTACCGTGAAGCTTTTCTGCAGATTCACTGGAAAGATATGGCAACTGCGCAATTTAATACACAGCAATATGATTAATCAAGGACGAACACTTTAAAGCCAACTACACTCCTCATAAGTACAAACCCGTGGTATACTATACCATTTGTTTTTATTTAGTTGAAAATATAACACTGGTATATATCGAAAATTGTCCAGTATTGCTCTAGCAGTTGCAAAACTCTGAATATCTAAAAGAATTATCAAAAAAAAACACTAAAGATGAACCGCGTACTGTTTTTTCAAAACGCCGAGTATCGGGTACTCGGTCATATTCGAATACTGAGTACCGGGTACTTGGTAAGCTGATGTACTCTGGGTTATATGGTGGTATATATCGAAAATTGTCAAGTATTGCTCTAGCAGTTGTAAAACTCTGGATATCTAAAAAAATGATGAAAATACTAAAGATGCACCGCGTACTGTTTTTCCAAAACGCCGAGTATCGGGTACTCGGTCATATTCGAATACTGAGTACTGGGTATTTGGTAAACTGATGTACTCTCGGTTATTTCAGCTACTGTATTGGTATTAAGATTGTATTTGTGTTTTGAAAAGCCCTCCATTATCTCAATTAATTTACTTTTCCATGAAATGAAACAAGAATAGTTGTGCAGCTTAGACAATTTTTATCCGACTGCCTCAGGAGGAAGGTTATGGATTTTGACATGTGAGATGTTGTTGGATTCCGCATGGCAGTGGGAGTGAGACTGGCTATGCTACAATTTCATAAAAACAAATTCAGACGAAGCTACATAAAACAAACACACAACCGCTGGTTGTGTTGGCGGGGCTAATCGTAATTTTGAAAGGACCAAACCAAAATTATATATGAGTGAGGTTTTTTGCGGAAAACGCGTAATACCCGCTATTTACTTTACTTTTCAATCTTTGCTGTTTTGTTCACTTTGTTTCATAGTTTTTTGAGCGTCCATTTGAAAGGTATAGAGCAAAAAAAGATTGAAAAAGAACAATACAATGTGGTATCAGTTTAACCCCTCCGTAGACTATATTTTTATGAAAAAAGTTGTAGTAGTGACACCTTGTATATAAAAAATAAGCTACCGTAAATATAGGTTTTGCACATCACAGATAGAATTCTTTGATTCACACGAGTACGTTGTAGCGTTGTACGAGTAATCACCCGACTGAGTAATTTAATACTCGGCGAAACCAGATACGTGGTAAAATTGGCCAAGTATACCGAGTACCGGGTACAAACCGATCCATAAATAAACGCCACGTCGCACAACTGTCTTTTTCGATAGTGCGTTAATTTAATGGAAAAGTGAATCAAGCGCTAATCGCTCCACCTGGTACAGCCGGTATTCAAATCCGGCTGAACACCCAGTAGTCTTTTTGAAATAGTACCCGGTGCATCTCTGGATACATTAAAAGCCGAAACTTCGTGTTTAGGATATCAAAGGGCTACCCTCAAAATTAGAAAGTGTGTTGTTAAATTAGATATCATTGATACTGGAGACATGATAGACATCCTGCACTGCTGTGTTAGGCATGAAAGTATATACATATCATTACCATAGTTTATTGGTACCTACTCTGAAATGTTCATGCATAGTACTTTTTGATTCGTAAAAATTGTAAACACCCACATTATCGTGACTCAACAACAAACCAATAACCTCATATAATTCCACCTTGTTCATTATTTCAGAATGACCCAAAATAAACTTGTTTTGTGTCAAGAGTTGGATATTTTTAGATATTGGAGAAAATACGCATTTGCATTTGTTTTTAATGGAAATGTTTTAATGCAGGGCATAGATTAAAATAGTAAGGAATAATATGCATATTTGGCATGTTATTTCTATAAGCTGAACTGTTTTAAGCAGAGATGATCGTTCGTTTCTATGTTAGTTTATGGGAAAGACAAAGACTTACACTTTGAAAAAACATTCTTGTTAGTCATGTATCTGATACTGGAGAGATTAGGCATTACAATTGTTTTTGATTGAACTCTTTCAACACAAATCATGAACTTACACTAATCAAAAAAACTATATAAAGGTTTTGTTTATTGGTAGAATGTAGCAGTGATTATGTTCATGTTGCACTTAATTATTGAGAAAAATCTATGTATCAAGCAGTACTGACAGACAAACAAACAATCTACTGGATGCCCAAATTGATTCTACATATCCCATATGGTGGAGCCGAAAATATATGTTTAAGTTTGAATAAGAATGAGAATAAAACATGAAAAATGGTATGGACAAAAAAAATATCACTAAGCACTCAGCTGATTGATATCTGTAAACCCCCTTTGGGTACGCTTTAGCTCAGTTGACAGCTCATAAAACAAATTATCCTATTGTCAATCTGTTCAGATGACATGCACCAACTAAGTTAAATTATACTTCACAAATCATTTTCTCTCAACTCCCGAGGACAGCTGTATCCGAGTCCTGGTCCATTATGGCTACAGTTCTAGGGTTGAGATCAGGTAATCAAAAATTCCCAAATAGTCAGTTACCACATTTTGATAGTAAAGGCAAAGGTACACCAATCATTCATATGTATACAGGGTGACTTTGAAGTTGAGTCATTAATTTTCAGATAATGATTGTAGAAGGAAGATAAACCAAAATATGTGTGTAAAAATAAAAAAAAAATGTTTACCTTGTTTTATAAAGTATCCTCCCGACAAGTATTTCAGTGCGGACCTGTATTTGATCATGAGGTCCCCTGTGAGGTCTTAAGTCACCTGATTCACGAGCCCGTTGTACTACATTGACAAAGGCACTAGGGGTTGGTTGCACTCGATTGGGAAACCGATCCGCATAAACATGTGCCATTTTTTATTTCGTTTGAGCCACGCAACAGATACCACTATTCACTGACACTGACTGTATACAAATGAATGAAATACTTGTAAAAACAACGTTCCAAATTCTTTCGCTTTTTTGTTTCCAATGCGATGAACCGATACGGCGGATTATATCCGTTGTCGCCAAACACGAGTACATAATATTATTATTGAGACAGGGCGGTACTCAAAGTTCCAAAGGGCTATAACTTTGTTACTTTAATTTTACCAGAAAAATGGTAAAGGAAAAAAACATTTCTTTTGATCAGATCTACTCACTGTTAAAATAAATGACTCAACTTCGAAGTCACCCTGTATATACATATGTAGTTTCAGCATAAAGTTATTTTTTAAGATATTAACGAAAAATGTTTGATTTTGGTTAAGTATTATTATATCAATTTTGAAAATATATATTCAAGATGGGGCTGATCCTGTATAAATAAATAAATTTTCTTTCATTCTGCATTAAAATGAACAATTGGTCATTGCCCACAAAGAATTTGTGACTATTACAGATGATACAATGTTGTTTAGCTGTGCAAATTCAGCTTTTCTACTTGGGAATGACTGTTAAGGATTGTCAAAAATTCTTTGTTAGAAAGAACAGATATGATGTGAAATTGGGTATCTATGTCCAACAATATTTGAAAAAAAATTACCTTCTCCTTGATCTAATATTCCATGGAACTTGGCATCCAGTATCATCTGAGATAGTTTCTTTTCAACCTGTGGCATTGGTAGCTTTATAGTTTTTGCAACATACTCTACTTGTACCCTTGAGTAAGGCTCTATGATTCTACATAGATTCTGTTCTAACATGTTGTCATAAAGTGTGCCTAGATGTGCTCTTACTATAGGATCATCTTCTAGTTCATGTTTAAATTGTTTAACAGCTTGTTGAAAATCTGCTAGAGATCTTTTATGTGAGGCTTGGGCAACGGCCTTCATAGCTTCTACATCCAAACCAGCATACTTTATGGCTAATTTACCACTAATGATCTGTTGTACATCTTCAGGATTATTTAACATTATTTTGGACAGAAGCATATATTTGAGTGCCACCAATGCTTTAGGTGACTCTACACTATCGAATCCTTCAAAGGCCTCATAAAAGTAGGAGAACGCTGTCTTGAAGTCTTTTTCATCTGCAGCATGTAAAATACCAGATTGCAAATCCAAAGCAGCTTGCATTTTTGGGGGGCAATATATAGCATTGGCGGTAGTACGTGCTGATGTTAATGCTGCTCTGGCTTTTGGTAGATTACTGAGGGCATGATATGTTTTACTCTCTAGGAGCTGAACTTCCACTAACAGATTTTTGTCATCTAACTTCTTGAGTTCTTTTAAAAGAGTCGATTCCAGCTGCAGTGCTTCTGAGTACATGCCTGTGTCGAAATAGAGCGCTATAAGACGGGCTTCCAGTGACTGGCGGAGAAAAGTTCTCCTTTCTTCTTTGGCCCATTCGATGCATTCTTTGCAAAGTTGAACCTCTATACCAATACCAGCTTCCAGATCCAAAAAGTAGTCGACCAAAGATCTCACCAACTTCGCCGCTTTAGCTTTACTTATCATACTGAGGAAAGGCCTGGTAGCTTTTATTAAGTCAGCCAGCTCCTTGGCCTTACCTTCTTTCTTGTACTTCTCCCCCAAATTGAGGATATCCTGTTCCTTATTGTTGATGTTTTCATCATCGTTTTCCTCATTGTTTTTTCTTGAGAAATTTAACAATTTATCGTGTTGTGACGAAACATTTTGTGCTCTTTCAAACAACATTGCACCAGCCATATTTTTGCCTCTTCAAAAAAGCACTGTCATCGCCGCGGTCATCACACGAATGACAATTTAAAAAAGATGTCAAAAGTGTCAAACGTCGCTGGAGAAAGCCACGCACGGAGCTAGAACATTGCAAGGATGCAGTGGCATAGAATTGGATTGTCAGTCAGAATGAAAGTGCTAGGGGAAAGTAGGTTGTGTCTTAGTCTAGTGCCGAGGCACACGAGCGTTAAACTGATGCGCAGCATGAAAAGACGCATTGAAACAACGTGCGTCGATAATCTGTCCTGTTCCACCTTCATCAGTACAACGTGAAACTTGTGTTTTTATGGTGCACATTGATTTATCAGTTCTGTGCCCCGGTGCTTTACTTGTTAAAAACTGTAAGTAGTAGCGGGTCCAGGTTATACAGGACCGGCAGGGAATTATTGATTTTTCGTACTTAACGTGTATGACAGAGATAGATAGAGAAACACGTATGTTAAAGCGAGAACTCTAATGACGGGATCACAGACTCGTTGTCCTTGGTGTTGGGCACGCTTCATTCGCACCCTCGCTCTAACCTACGTGTTTCTCTATCTGTCTCCTACATACACAATAAAGACCAGATGTCAATGGTTCTCGGCCGATCCTATATATGAATTGATAAGGGAAATTTTTGGGCGATAGACTTACCATATTACTGATAAATTGTGTATCGAGAGAAATGGATGCATATATGTCTTATCACGGTTTTTAGCAGGCCACAGTAATACTACAGAACCGAATTTCATACATCCATCTTCTTCACATGTATACAAGGAAAACCAAATTTGTCTGACGGCTTGAGCTCAATGTGAAAGAGAAAGAACCACGAGAAGTGTGAATCAACACATGTTAGAAAGAGATAGAAGCCGGCTGAAGAGCCAAGGTTATCACCACATTGCCTAGCGACGGTGACGCGAAAGGTCGTGCAGTCTGCCGCGTTATCATTATGATACACCAGAAAATATTCGCAATAGGTTTGGTTACTATCAAATCCAAGAAGGAGGTCTATTTAAATTTAGATGCGACTAAGATTTTTAATTTATTTTAGAATCCTCTTTGATTTCCACCGAAGGTGACAAAATCAACAAATCCTGAGACACTGTTACATTTTGCGACAGCGCTGCGTTTGGAAAATGTAACAAATAACGTCAAGCAATACATATTATCACTGACTGTGTCTACGCATATGAAAGTCATTTCGAAGCAGATGAGCACTGACCAAAATTGCCTGGCAATGAGAATGGCGGTGGAAATCTTGCCTTGGAATGTTCAAGATGCGGTGTTATATCAAACGAACCAACGATGAAGTATGTTGCAGAATTTGTGGCGATCTTTTCCTTTCATTTCGACCTAAGATGGAGCGCCGTTAGGACCGATCGGGCATCAATCCTAAATAGATTCGACACAATTCAAAAATGTGTACGCTCAAAATGAAACCATTATTTGGGCGTAGAGAATAAAGGAACGCATATTTTAAAAATGCACATTAATTCAAGGAACTGGTGAAACATATTGGCAACGCGGCAGATTACGCGTCAGCGTTGCTAGGCAACGTGTGCGGGGCTTAACTTTCCTACGGGAAATGGTACACCGGTCTTCAACACAGCTTCACTACTGACTTACGGTTCGGTCCAAACGTACTACCCTGTAAACGTACTACTGAGGTGTGTGCCCCGCTTAACATCCTTGGAGCAAAGAATTTTTGATCTCGCTCAACTGTCACGGTCACGTGTTGCTATATCTGTCAATTCTTGGCACTTTGGAGCTTGACAATGACAATTGTGGTTTGACATTTGTCACCGTGCACACTTCCATAAAATGCTACTCTTCAAGCTTTGCATTTAATTTATTACTCGAATAGATCCCGAAATTGCGGCAAGTTGATTCCAACTTCGAGTTAGCGGTACATAAACTTGAACCTTGATGCAGCCCACATCCGTGTTCGGGTGATCGAATAAACAATCCTCATCGCTCTTTCATGGAACGAACGTTCAGAACGTTGTCAGTTTCGGTTGCAGACTATTTTCATATTTCATTTTGTAATAGGTTTCGAAGTCTCGCATCTTGCTGCTCCAAATTTCCGTAAACAAGACCACCGATCACTTAAATTTATAGGCTTGTCATCTCATCATTTTCAAGCTATAGTGCACCATAACGAATATTATGAATCCCGACGATTATGAAACACTGCCTACTGACGATATAGCTACCCATATGACTGCAGGAGCGATCGCTGGGGTTATGGAACATTGCGTAATGTACCCCCTTGACTCAGTCAAAGTGAGTATCCTTTTCATTTATTAATATGCTTCCCACATAATCGAGCGCTTTTTGGTCTGAGCGATTTTGAGGTTATATTCTGAACGACTTTGAGCGAAAATTATCATCTAAGATGAGTTTGGTCTGGATATTTGCACCTGAGATCTTTGTTCCACCTTAAAAGGCTCTATTATGTCAGCTGTTTCATATAACACCTTAAGATATTACTTTTGAACCCGAGCCAACAGTTACAATGTCAGATCTTTGATGTGCAGGCAGATATTGTATGATTAAAATAACTTTGCTACTTCATTTTATCAATTTGAAAGTTTAATGGGTGCAGTTCATTTACTTATTGAAACCTCTTCATTCTTTGCACTTATTAGTTATTAATTTTTTGCTATACTGCTGTGCTTACATTTTTTACATTAGTTGTAATTTTTGTATTTCTGTGCTTACATTTTTTACATTAGTTGTAATTTTTGTATTTCTTACCAAATTGGCAAAATGCTTTTATATCTGTTTTTTATATCTGTAGTTCTTTTCATGGTTTTTGGTAGTTATATGAAATATGTAAACAGATTAATTAATGGTACCATGTGCATAGTTAAACTTCCATAAGGGATTGCACACTTTGCAAACTCATTTGTAATGCAGTTGCTACTCACTCTTGTATACACATCCATATTCACACATCAACTGAGTTGATGGAGGACTGTTGTTTTCACATACTCTCCCAAAATACTTTGCAGACTGTGGAATATGTAGTCTATTTATGCAACATCAACATGGGAAAACACAAATCACATACCCATGTCAAGCAAATTGTCATACTGACAGTGACAACTATGAATGTGGGAGACTCATTCATCAATGAGAATATTTTTGTGCCAGCAAGACCAAACTAAAAAATGTATGTCTTTGAGTATATGCATACAAACATCTAAACATAGAGGCTGATTACATATGTATGTCTGAGGGAGATGTTTGCCATTTCTGTGGTTTACCTGTGACCCTCCAAAAACCTTGAAAAGACCTATATGCTTGTTGCAGCAGAAATCTTGACATTTACAGATGTAGATCCTAGTTTTAATTTTTGTATAATTTATTATTTGGGTCAAATTAGACAGTATATATCACAAATCATGTTTCGTTAATCTATACTTTATTATTGAAAATGTAATTTGCCTATTCAGGGTGCAAAGCTTTAACATAATACTGTAAACCTTGTTTATTATATCAAAATACTTATCAATATAATCAACATGGTACCTTCCAGTCATATCTTATCTGATTAACAAAACCTTTGAGTGATCATAACAAAATTTTAATATAGGAAATGGATGAAATAATTATTTTTCCTGATTATAGGCTGGCAGATAATTAGGGCTTTCTCAAAAGCTGCCTTGAAACAATTCTTAATGTATTTAATTTATGTAGAGATATTCAAATATTCATAAATAACTACCCAGTTTTTAAGTATAAAATTTGCTTTATTTTTACTTTAATTAATCTGGCTAATAAATTAAGTAGATCATTTGATAACTACTGATTGTAACCTGCATTACTTTTGCCATTATTTATTATAAAATTATTAGTTCATAGTTTGTGAGTTCCTTTTATGTCAAATTAAGGGAGATCAGAGAACAAATATAGGATATAATTTCAAGAAGATATACACTGAGAACCAAATTTGTCTGATGGGTTGAGTTTAATGAGTATGAGATTCTCGTGTGTATAGACAAAGATAGAAGCCAGCTGGATAGCGAAGCTCATCACTGCGTTGCCTGGTAACGCTGACGCGGCAATCTGCTTCATGATCATAGATGGACGATTTTTGTCAGTACCCATCTAGGGCTCATTGTGGAGTGTCATCCTGCTTTGGAATGGGTTTCACCTGCATACACTCAGGCAGTGATAATTTAAATTGGATAATGTTATTTGTTACATTTTCCGACCTCTTGCTGTCGCAAAATGTAGCAATAACTCAGGATGTGTTGATTTTATCACCATCGGTGGAAATCAAACATAATTATAGAATAAATTAAAAGACTAAGTCGCATCAAAATTAAAATAAATGTAACCAAAACGAAAACAAAATATTGAATTAAATGTTCGAACACACACCCTTCTTGTGTTTGAAAGTAACCTAACCTATTAAATCTTGCAATACACTTTTAAATTCATCTATTATTTTTCGAGTGACCCTTATTCACATGAATTTACTTGTAGTCAGTTAGATGTGGGGTCTAAAGTTACACAATGTTGCCTACGTTTCAGAAAATTTCTTCCTTCAGAGCTCCTTTTAGTAGAAAACTGTGGTGGTTAAATGAATCTTGCACGTTTATTAATATTTTGCACATTCTAGATATCAATATTTGAAAACAGTGATGTACTGTTATGTTTTTATGGCTAGACTCAGAAAGTTGTTAAATTCATGTTTCAGACGAGAATGCAGTCCCTTACCGCTTCCGGGTCCGAGGGAATAGGTGAAACCTTTTTACGGATGGTCCGACACGAAGGGCTGTTACGACCTGTCAGGGGAATGTCCGCAATGATTGTGGGGGCGGGTCCTTCACATGCGCTGTATTTTAGCAGCTACGAGTACCTCAAAAATACATTTACAAAGTACACCAATTCAGCTAGGTACCACACGTTAATATATGGTAAGTGATCTATGCCTGAGTTGAAAATAAATATTAAATATAGGTAATCATGTTTAATAGATATTAAATATGGTAATCATATAACAGATTACGTTATGCGATGCGTTTTGCGCCCATATAAGTCTCCACTTACAGGTTTACAGATAAGATCAGACTTTGGAGAGACTATGCACCTATCAAAATAGTACAAAAAAGTAAAATAGTGCATGTCATAATGTCTAATATGATTCACTCACTAATTATACAGATGGCGGTTTGCGTCATAACCGTGGAAAAACTATGTAAGGCAGTAAGATCCTTGCATGGTTGCTTAGTTTTTGGGGTGTTTGTGTACTTTTCCAACGTTACAGTTGGTCATACTGATGAGATCACTTACGAAAACTTGACCTCACATTTGCCCTCTAAAGTAAAATCTCATCTTTTCTTGAGTTTATTGTCAAAAATGGTGTTTGCTATTTGCATTTATAAACTTAATCTCCAAACAACCTCTGAGGTCATTATCTTAGCCATATCTAAGATCATCGACATATCTCATTTCTGTTATCCTAAAACATTTAATAACAATAATGATTAAAAAAAAATCGTGGTTTCCAACTTTTCGGGGCGTTCGTGTCCTTTTCAGGCGTTACATTAGATCATACCTATATTCTAAGTGGTTCAATCAGTAAGTCTTATGACCACTGGACCTTGTCTATGAAAATGCTCTTTGAGGTAGAATCTCAAACTGTACACAAATGTGCCGCCAAGATTGGTGGTTGCTGTATGAATTTATGAGCTTGACCCCTAAATAACCTCTAGCCCATTATCCTATTTCTAAGCTCCACTAACAGTCGAGCCTACGTCATCGGGAATTTTGATGAGAATGGTATCAGAGTGTAGCAGGTAATGAGAGGTATAACAGTGCCGGAAGGGCCAAGCATCTGGTAACAGGGTTCTTAGAACCTTTACCAAAAAATTCGTGGTTGGTAAGATATCGTGTAAATTTCAGATGTTACAGTAGGTCATACTGATTGGACCAGTTGCTTACCGCCTGAGCTAGAGCTCCACAATTGTCTGCTGTCAAAAATGGTGGTTGTTATTTGAATTTACAAGCTTGACCTCCAAATGACTTCTGATGTTATTATATAGGTCATATTGTAGACCATCAACAAATTGCTTTTTTTATATCACGGAACTGTTGCTAAAACGTGATTCCATGAAAATGCGTGCCTGTCGAGTATTTTAGGATATTTTATAGACACGCTGTATAAAAACTGACCTTCTGGTCTACATAATTTTATTTGGCTAATTCATATAATTTAAAACGAGAATAGTCTATATCAAATGTTGATTAAAATTTATGGTACAATCTATCTCTAAAAATCGCTGATATAATTAATTTTCGTCTCGATAAATGAATTATTTTATTATTACATAATGCTTACTACATGTATTTTCTGGTTGTTTATGTACTAGATCTTTATTATTTACAGTCAAGATTCTAGATTAGAACAACTTATATATGTTTAGCTATACATTGGATGACCTGATTGATCTTTCAATAATATCATTAAAGGAATTCAATAGAACGGGTATATCGTGAACCGTGCACACCTTTCAGGAATCGAAATTCGTACCATACATAATGAGAATAATACCGTGAAAAATATGGTGTTAGTTTATTTAGTACAAAGATGAAAATTAAATTGCATATAGATTTCATGAAAAGTAGAATCCAGAAGTGTAACAATATACAGGATCTTACGTAATGGTGTGTTGAGATGTGATTACTCTCCTACTATACTACAAACAACTTTTAATGCCAAACATCACCAACTTTAGTATATTTTCAAAATATAACGGATTTAGGTTTTTTCTACTTATTGTATCTCGAATATTTAAACCATTTTTTTTTTTTTGGAAAGAACGGACTGAATTTAAAAAACGTAGTGAACGCCATTTCCCATAAAGGTTTCTATAGGGTCTTTTGCAGAGAAGAATCACATTAGGTTAACAGCGACATACCCTTTAGTATATTGGTATGTCAGACATTCTTATGAGAGGCTTATTGAGACTATAAGAAAAAATTACAGGGTTTAAAATATGGATGTTTGTTTATCGCGTAGTTACGAATTGTGGTATATTTTACAAGTAGTGAACATGTAGATATCCATATAAGAACTATCAAGAGATTAGACACCAAAAACTCACCTACGTATGCACTATTAATAAAATCCAATAATATAATTGAATAGATGGACAAACATACTGCCAAGAAAACGGGTTCACACCTAAAAACATGTTAAATACTGTCACCCTGTATATATATATATATACAGGGTGACTTTGAAGTTGAGTCATTAATTTTCAGATAATGATTGTAGAAGGAAGATAAACCAAAATATGTGTGTAAAAATAAAAAAAAAATATAAAAAAAATGTTACCGTGTTTTATAAAGTATCCTCGCGACAAGTATTTCAGTGCGGACCTGTGCGCCCAAAAGCATGTCACAAAAACTGTTCGAAATGATTTCCGTTTTGCTCGACGCACAGCTGGGCGCGTCTTAGCCATGTCTCTTTACAAGCACGCAATAAAATCACTGGTTGATTTCTGATCACTGTACTCATTTCCTCAATTCGAGCACGTAATTCTTCGCGTGTATTAACCGGTGTTTTATACACTAGAGTTTTTAGCCAACCCCACAAACAAAAGTCTAAAGGATTTAAGTCCGGAGACCTTGGCGGCCAAGGTACAAAACCGCCACGGCCGATCCAACGATTATTAAATTGTCTATTTAAAAATTCACGCACATTTCTTGCATAATGGGGTGGTGCCCCATCTTGTAAAAACCACATGTTTTGTCTAATATTTAAAGGCACATCTTCCAGTAAACCAGGCAAATTGTGTTGCAAGAAATCAAAATAATTTTCACCAGTTAAGCGATTTGGTAATTCAAAAGGCCCCACTAAAATTCCATTAACAATTCCCGCCCACAGGTTGATTGGTTCAAATCGCTGTTGAAAATTGGTTTCCCTTATTTCATGGGGATTTTCAATAGCCCAAACGTGAGAATTACGTGAATTAATAATTCCGTTTCTAGTAAAGAGGGCTTCATCACTCACTAAAATTTGATTTAAAAAATTGTCATCATTTTGATGTTTATTTAACAGGTTAAGCGCCAAGGACTTTCCACCAAAATATGTCCCTGGACCAATGTGACTTTTTAACAAATTTTAAAAATTTACGTCTAGTTAACCCCAAATCCTCGATATTTGATATTTTTTCCGCATAGATTTAAAAAAAATAAAGCGGACATCGGTGTCCGCCATGGCCCTCCGAAAATGTTTAGAACGAGCGGACACGATACTTCCCAGAGTGGTCGACGATCGAGCCGATCTATCTTTACTTGCCGATGCAGGTTGTTATTGATTAGTTTTTCGTCGCTTCGAGTGAGATGTGTTGCACCGTTTTACTGATGTTTTGAGCGTAAAGTGAAACTTTTTGAAATAAAAATGAATTGACGATCAAAGAGGATATTACAGTTAACTCTGGAGAGAAAAAACGACTATGAAAGTAAGCTGCTATTGAAATTTTATTAGGTACCTCAATTGTGAATGCCCATTTTATTTACAGGGAGATCGAACAGAGCGACATTTCCATAAATAATTTTCGGAATGCAGTTGTTGAACGATTGCGGAAATTCGAAGATGGCTACTCTTATGACCGTACATGTCCTGTAAAAGTGAACTTGAGGGCTCACGTATTACTAAAACTGTATTGTAAGGCACGGGAAAATAGACGGTACTGCAAGGGTTGTTACAACTAAAAACAAGATGGACTTATTGAAAAAGTTAAAAAAGTAATCATTTATTGTGCACAGTGCGAAGATAAGCCTAGATTCTATCTGGAATGTTTTAATTTAGTACACAAAACTTGTTAAAATTTTTACGAAATAAATGTAGATATGTATTTGCAAAACTTTTTTGTTCAATATACTTTGTTTATTAAATGTTTATTTTATCTCCATAGATAAATAAATAAGTGAAATAAATATATAAATATTTAATTGATATTACAATAAGAATGTCACCAGATTTCTCTGGAAAACATTGCTACATAAAACCTGGTGTCAGCGTTTTATGTTGCAGGGCCATGGCGGACATGTTACTACGCCAAACCGCATAAAAACGTGTCCGCCTGGCCGGGAGGAGATGATAAAAGTTTGAAAGCCAAGCGGACACCGGTGTCCGCCGTGGCCCAGGAGGCTGATCACAAATCGGACACCGGTGTCCGCCGTGGCGCTTAACCTGTTAAAAGCCAATTGCAAAAGTCAACCCTTTGTTCATGATCTTCCGGTTGTAAGGCCTGCACTTTTTGTATGTGAAACGGATAGAACTGATTTTCACGTAGAGTTTTCCAAGTTTTATACTGACTAATCGCCAATTGAGTTGAAATTTGTCGGGTGCTTACTGTTGGATCATCACTTACTAATTCTAAAATTTGTTCTTCTAGTTCTATTTGATCGTGTGGTCTTGGAGCACCGGCATGATCTCCTCTGTGAGGTCTTAAGTCACCTGATTCACGAGCTCTTTGCACTACATTAACAAAGGCACGAGGGGTTGGTTGCAGTCGATTGGGAAACCGATCCGCATAGATCCGTGATGCCGCGGCAGCATTTTGTAAAGTAAATAAGAACCATGTCCACAAGTTCAGCATTTTCGTAAACATGTGCCATTTTTGATTTGAGCCTCGCAACAGACACGATTATTCACTTACGCGTTACCGACTACCGACTGATACTGACTGTATACAACTGAAATTGTAAAAAGATCGTTCCAAATTCTTTCGCTTTTTTGTTTCCGATGCGATGAACGGATAAGGCGGATTATATCTGTTGTTGCCAAACACGAGAACATAATATCATTATTGAGACAGGGCGGTACTCAAACTTCCAAAGGGCTATAACTTTGTTACTTTAATTTTACCAGAAAAATGGTAAAGGAAAAAAACATTTCTTTTGATCAGATCTACTCACTGTTAAAATAAATGACTCAACTTCGAAGTCACCCTGTATATATATATATATATACAGGGTGACTTTGAAGTTGAGTCATTAATTTTCAGATAATGATTGTCGAAGGAAGATAAACCAGAATATGTGTGTAAAAATAAAAAAAAATTAAAAAAAAAATTTACCTTGTTTTATAAAGTATCCTCCCGACAAGTATTTCAGTGCGGACCTGTATTTGATCGTGAGGTCCCCTGTGAGGTCTTAAGTCACCTGATTCACGAGCCCGTTGTACTACATTAACAAAGGCACGAGGGGTTGGTTGCACTCGATTGGGAAACCGATCCGCATAAACATGTGCCATTTTTTATTTCGTTTGAGCCACGCAACAGACACTATTCACACGCTAACCGACAGACACTGACTGTATGTATAACTGAACTGAATAAAATACTTAACTGCAAAAACATCGTTCCAAATTCTTTCGCTTTTTTGTTTCCGATGCGATGAACCGGTAAGGCGGATTATATCCGTTGTTGCCAAACACGAGTACATTATATTATTATTGAGACAGGGCGGTACTCAAACTTCCAAAGGGCTATAACTTTGTTACTTTAATTTTACCAGAAAAATGGTAAAGGAAAAAAACATTTCTTTTGATCAGATCTACTCACTGTTAAAATAAATGACTCAACTTCGAAGTCACCCTGTATATATATATATATATATTAATCAGCTTTTCGTTTTCAAAGTTATTTCATGTTTACATACTGACGTAAAAGATGGCGTACCCTGTATGTACCAGACTGTTCCTGATATCGAAAAAAGATCATTTTTTACATGTTGAGGGCGGCTGACATTCATAGACAACAGGAAAATTCTCTTAGATTCGAACTCGCGCGGCTCATGGCGACTGCTTTGTAGACTGATTCCTAAGATTTAAAAATCGTATCGGCATCTTGTATAGGTAATTTGCTTTGCATAAAACTAAGAAAGCTTATTAGTTCATGCTTGTTGTTAACATGAGATGTATTCAAAGCTGTGTCATCCAACACAAACAACAGTTTTAACTGATTATATTTCATCTCTATGTGTTTGATAATTGATAATGTGAGGAGCGTGAAGATGATACGACTTTTTCTATTTGTTTTTTTGATGCGAGTAAATTAATGAAGATCTCGCTACTCTGTAGTGAATCAAGACAGCGGCGTGGGTTTTGCTTTTGTGAGGAGAGGAAGATAAGCCAGGTAGTTGTCGATCTCGTGAGATGGATTAGATTAAAGAAAATGGTCGTACTACAGCAGTATGTCGAAATGAGGACCAATGCTTCTTTCTACACTTCGCCTCGCCTGTACTGCTCGTAGGACCACGAATTCTATTTCAGAATACGTATTGAAAAATGGCAAGAATAAATTTTTCGTAAATCGGAGGATAGCTAATTTAGACGGGAACATATTGTCACATCATGTGAATTCTCGAGGTATAACGTATCGTGAAACCCCGCTTACACAAAGGAGGATATTTATTTGGAAAAACACCATTGTCCCATCGTTCCTTCAGTTCATGAATTTACGTTTTGATAAGTGAGTTAATTTAAATGCTTGAAAGTTCACGTAAGGCCTTTTCTCTCAGCAGTTTAAGGAAAATTATGCATTGTGTTTACTTTGTTTGCGGTGCAAGTATACCTATATACAAATTAACATATTACAATTTGTAATTATTTTGACTCTGACCTTGACCATTCATTTTCATGCTATTCTTCATTGGAACTAGTCTTTTCTTTCGGATATCAACATAAGTTATTGTTATAAACATTCATAACACTTTATTGATATGGTGATTTAATGTCGTGAAATTAGATAGCAAATCCAATAGTGCAACATAGTCTAAGAAATATAGCAAAATCGCTGTGGTAAATCGTACAGAGACAAAATATTTGGAAAAAATGTGTATCAGACGAGGAAATAGGTACTGTAATTGCGAAACATTTCGAAAATGAGAAATTATGTTTTTTGGAGGTTGTACATCACTTCACGTACACCCATTTCCGTTTTCTGTCTGCCTGCCTGCCTGTCTGTCGTTCAGGATCTCCTGAACCATCAAAAAACGAAGTTTGATCGTTTTTTTTGCCTTTTTTGCTTATTATATAGAAGCCCTTGGCGCAGTAGTAACTCTGTGTAAAAATTTCATCCAAATTCGAGTGGTACTTTTCAAGGTATGGACGGGCCAAGGATTAGAGGCCAGACAGAAAGGCCGATAGACAGACCAACATACAGACGAACATCCAAATAGATCGTCGAAAATGAGGATGTGGTTTTTCGTGATGCAAATATTATATAACACCCAAAAAAAAAATCCATTCTCGAAATTTTTCGCGATTACAATATGTACTTCCTCGCCCAGTGGCAAATCTAAATACTCAACGTTTTTTAAATCAAATGCAGTATACTGATTTGGTTGTATTGAATTTTCATTCAGTGCGTTACGTTTGTTTTAATTTGCTTGTTTAATATGGTACGAACGTAGGAAAATTGTATTGAATATTGACGATTTAGACAACGTCAAAACTTCTAGTGATTTCCTACAACTAACCTTCATATAATCGGAAATCGCTTTTGGAATAACTTGTATGCCTGAGATTATTTAAACAAAGGGCGAAGTACCAAGGATTGATTTGGAGGCAGCTAAGAGTGTATGCTGTTATTTGTGTTGGCTTATCTCCCTAATGCAACTAATGATTTGGCAAATTTCTGTTTGCAATAATACTTCTGTCGGTACTTCTAATAGAATAAATTGCTTTCTACGTTGTCATGTCCCGTGTCTTATCAATGATGCGTTTGTTTAAATTATACTCATATGTGTAATACATTCTCTAGTGCAATTATAATTTATAATTCAAACCAATCGATTAGTTTGTTTAAATCATTTAAACTGTTGTTTGTGGAATTGCATATACGAAGAATTTTAAACAAGAATAATTCATTAAATAATTAGTGATATTTCGCGGGGAATCTCGAATAGATGAGCAATTACTGTGACAAAATGTTCTGACGTGACGCTTGCCTAACAAGATTCCCCGCGTGGTTGTACACTAAACAACAAACCGCAATGACTATAGCCAAGCGGCATCAGATATCAACACTTTGTTGCGCAAATTAGTGGACTACACTACACTCTTTTTATGATGGCTATGACAATTCTGCGCTGCCTTCTTGTGTATACCTTTTTTGTGCAATTGTATATGTATTTTTTTCTGACGGTTGAGTAGAATAGCTTGAATCTGGACTCCGCCATCCTCATGGACATTTTGTTTATTTGAAGAACATTTTTTTAAATGAAGTCAGTTATTATTGCACAGTCGAGCAAGTTCGCAAGCACAAGATGTCGCGACTGGTGCCGTAAACATACCAAAGTTTAATTGTAAATTTAGAACAAACAAAACTAAAACATTCTGGCAGCATACACGAACATAATGTAACTTATTTCTGTTCTCAAAATTATCTCCTTATTTGATATATTTGTTCCTTTTTCCTTGATATTGACTAGTTTCTGGCGAATTAGTATGTTGATAGAAGTCAGGTCCTACATACACCAAGAATGACTTGAAGTGCACCAGTTTGAAATATATATTTCAATGGAATTGGCTATTAGGAGCAGAGGGTGCGCTTCATGTTCAGTACATGATTATTAAGTTGAATGGTGTGAACGCGTTTTAAAGTGCTGAATATCTAAGAGCATTTTTGGTCGATCATAAAGTGATGTAGAAGGAATAGCGATGAATGTTTTATCAGAACCTCAAAACTCGATAGTTTTTTAGCTTATTGATTTTATCAGTTATTTTAGGGTGCAAGGTCACAAAGTCGTTGGCGTGTAGACTATTTTATCAAATAAATCAAATAAAAATTTTACGTTTTCAATTACGTGATCATTTTGGAATAATATTAGCTGCATGGCTTGATCTGTTAAAATGTAATTAGGTGAAAAAATTACATTTGCATAATTCTATACTACATCCAGGAAAAAAGTGATCATACGTAATTTGAGAAAATACCAGAGTAGCTATGGCTAAAATAGTACGGAAATGCACCATCGAAAGCGTGCGAGATAGCATTTTAGCTGTCTGACATTGCATTGATCACTTAAACTCGAGCGAAGTTTCTATTTTCCATGTGTGTACAATGCAGCTTAAAGATTTATGGATGCTTACGACGGTTTTTGTTTTATGTTTTGTTACTTTCATGTTTTCCCACGTGAACAATTTTGTATGGTTTATCTGAAGTCACTTGAAATAGCATAAAAACCTTTGGTCGGCGCGTCCTTTGTAATTTCATGACGTATCATAGGCGTGCGGTTATTTATTTAGAACGATAATAATAATGTTTTTATATCACAATAAATGGATTTTACTATCTTCTTATTTTTTTGATTTGGGATAAAAAATACTTATATTGGGAGTTTAATTTATGTTGACTGAAAGTTAAGAAATGGAAAAATTACAGAATTCCAACGTTTGACATAGGCAAATATTTACATAGCAGGTAGGTATATAAAAAGGTATATAAAGACTTACATTATAGGTATTTATATATCATCCTCGCCTTCGGAGCTGTCGCTAGAGTCATCTTGTAGAGGAATTACAACGGGATTTACAGGAGGCAAAACACAATATTCATTTTCTTTTTCAATAATATGCCTAGAACACTGCTTCCATAGGTCTGTGGCAGCAATATGAGATACTGCATCTCTTATTGTGGCCAATAGCGATTCACTTAATTGAGGGGTCTGATTATGTTTTCTTACTTTTTTTTTTAAAGCAGCCCAGACCAACTCAATCGGGTTAAAAATGCAGTAATAGGGAGGTAGACGTAATACTTCATGGCCATTTTGCTGAAGCAGATTGTCAACAACATACTCTTTTTCAAATTTTTGTCTTTTAATAAGATCCAATAATATGGCTTTGGTTGATTTTTGTGGTATGTATTTCCATTCCCTTTCCTTCATAAAATCAATAATGTCTTGTTTTTTGTGCCTGTATTCGGAATTTTGTTTTTCTGTCGGGAATGGTATGGCGCATTGTCCATAATAATCACTGAATTTGGGGAAATGTTTGGTATTAACTGCTGCTCTATCCACTTTTCAAATAAGTCGGAGGTCATGTCCTCATGATAGTCGGCACATGATTCTTTGATATTTTTGGCAGATAACAGCAAGGCATTAGGTATAAATCCATTTTCACTGCCAGCATGGAGAATAATGATTCGTTTTCCACGGTTGCATGGTGCATTTAAAATGCACTTGTTGCTGTCGTCAACCCAGCCGTACTGCACAACATCATGGGTATCATACCACGTTTCATCCAGGTAAATCAGATTTCTTTTCTGCTCTCTATAGATTTTAACTTTGTGCAAAAATTCTTGGCGCAATTCAACGATTCGAGACGACTCCATAATCACCATTCTTTTATCTAATTTTTTGTATTGAAAACCACACAGTTTTACAATACAGTGCAGTGAGTCTAAGCATTTGTAATTATAAAAATCTTCAGGATAATCTTTTAATTTATCCCGTATCATTTCCAACGTGGGCACCAAATTTTCTTTATAAAATCCGTATATTATACGACGAATATCTTCCTGAAAACCCACGTCTATTCTTTTTAATTTTTGCCCTATGCGCTTTCTGTGGAAGGAATGGTTGACTACATCTCCCCTTTTTATAGCCCGATAAATGGTAGACTGACTGATTTTTGTCAGGATACAAATTCTGTAAATTTGATTTTGCGAGGAATCTGGATTTTCGTTTTTCAGACAATCATACATATTTAGGATTACTCTTTGGGTCTGTTCCTCTAAATCTTTATGAAAGAATTCTGCCTGCACAGGTTCATCAACCATCTCCTCGTGGCTTGGAGCATTTTCCCAAGGTCTCCAAAGAGCCATATTTAGGACACACAAGAACAATCAACACAACAATTAAATCAACAAGTAAACTGAGTATTCAAAAGTCAAAAACACACAAACTAATAAAATCTATGAAAAAATACGGACAGACTAAAGAAAACACGTTTATTCACCGCTACACGGCACTGGCTAAACTGTTTCAATTTTCAGTAGCCACCTGCACTTGTTCAGAGCTCTGAAATACACGCTTTCTCATTGGCTATGTCCACGCATAGGCGTGCTTTACTCCACGTGGACCGGTGAAACTGCCTTTGATCTTATACGGGGGATATTTGCTGCGAAATTTGGCGATTTTTGCAGCAACAGAGCGTGTTAAATATAGATATATAAAACGCACCCGGTATTTCACAGTGTTTCAAGTGACTTCAGATAAAGTATACCTATGGCGACTAGTAATTGTCGTTAAAACTTCCCGATTGCCAAGTCCTTTTCCAGGAATCTACAAGGTTTGATCAAACGAACATGGCATTAATCAAACTTTAAAACTACACGCATGAACGCTAGATAAATTATCTTCATTGAGGCGCACCTATAAACTAATGTAATGTCACCGTCATGGATCGCCGCAGTCGCCTTATCCTTTCATAATGGTTCTTCCATTTAAACTTTGCCATCGGTTTTGTTAGAAATAATGCTTGGCAGGAGTTGTAGATATTCTATTTTCTTATCCTTCTGTTATTTTGATCATTATCCCGCAATAACACAAAATGAATTACATGGTAACTGTATACGTAAATAAAAATACTTACATAGCGAATGGCGATGTGCATATTTAAATAGATCTTGCTCTTACATCAAACAGAAGGAATATTATACACTATGATTTACGCAGCCTGATTTTACGTCTATATGGACCAATAGGCCTTTCACTGGATTTATAAATAAATTATGGTATAATAGCATGGGGAGCAGCAAACATAACTCATATATTCAAATTGGAAAGAACTCAAAAAAGTATTTCAAAGATAATATCTCATAAACCCCCACTGTATCCAACTGACCATCTCTATAAAGAAACTGGTATATTAGACATAAGTCTATTATACCTACTAAAAGTTTTGATAGTGCAACACATATCCCGTCCTCTCAACCAAGAGCCGATACATTCTGACCAAACAAGAAAAAGGAATTATTTAAAGGTGCCAAAACCAGAAAAAATATAATGCTCAGCTCGTATTCTTACCTAGGACCAAAATGTTACAATCTTATTCCACAAGGCCTAAAGATGATACGTTCCAGACACACATTTAAAAGGAAAGTAAAAGGCTGGATAATATATATGCCCAGGCAGAGAATTCACGAAATCGTTGACTTAAAAAGATTACACTTAACATGAAAACCAATTACTAGACTATAGTTACCGAATTAGATAAAATACCCTATACCCAACACTACCGATTTAGACAATATGCCCCTGCTGTACTCATTTACCGATTTTGATAACATACTCGATATATCCCCCAAACAGAGAACAGAAAACAAAAACACTAATAACCTAAGATAGACTTTGTTCACTAAATGAGACATTTCGCCTTAAAAAGGATCTATAATTAAATGAAGCCATCCATACTCCTACTTTATCAGATAATGTATTTTAAAATCCTATTTTAATGTTGTTATTGTTCTTTTCTTAGAAAATCACGTGTGTCTTTTTATTTCTAGTTTAAGTAGTACGTAATTATTCATAAGCTAATCCATACCCGCCTACAAGGCTAGCCTTCTGCGGGTTTTCTACCATGTTTATTGTTCTAAAATATGCCATTTCTAGTTATCTGCTTGTAGTTTGGACAATAAACATTATTATTTTTATTATTATTTAGGATTTCCTTAAAACTCCCACATACTCTACTGCATTATTAAGATGTTTTACGTTCCATAATGCGTTGTGTCAAAATAATTAATAATGCATGGTTTAGCGTTTAGCCGCAGTTCATAGCCACATCAGAAAATGACAAAGCATATTGTTACAGGTGCCTCGGGATGTATATCTACATTGATCCACGATGGATTTATGAACCCTGCTGAAGGTAAGATTTTACTTCCCACGCCTACTGGCGTAATCGCGAAAATTTTCGAAAATGAGATATGTTTTTTGGATGTTATATGACATGTAAATCACGAAAAAGCAAATCATTAATTTCCGTCGATCTGTCCGCTAATCTTATAACACCCTATAACTTGCGAAGTATCTCTCGGATGTTGATGAAGTTAGTACACAATGAAAGTATCATGCCAAGGACGCAAAAGCTCTGTAACTCTTTGAAAATCAGTCCGGTGGCGGCGAAGAAAAAGGCAAAAAAAAATTACGCAAACTTGGTTTTTTGGCGTTTGAGACGATCCTCATCATTTTCGGAAATTTTATTGTAGGGATTGAAAATCGGTGGTTAGGGGTTACAGGGGGTGGGGGAGGGTATATCTCAAGTTTTTGACGTTGCTATATGTATTTCTACGCCTCCAACCCCATTTCTCTCATCATAGATGTCCCCTTACATACAGTATCTTGTAATATTTGCAAGCGACTTATCTCTACGTTTGCCACAATGTTTTTATCTACTTTCTTAGGAATATTCAATTTGTGTGAAGTCCAGGGGATTAATGAAACATAAGCGTTATTCTAGTGTATTTTAATTTTCGTTCGTGTTTTACATTGTGTTAGGTGAATTATAAGGTTGAATAAACAATGACGGAGGAAGCTACTACTTTGCATTGACGTTATTTGAACTATGGATTTGATTTTGACGGAATCCGTATAATGCATTTTATTTTATATAGGGTGAATCAAATACAATGGCGATATGTCTAGAGCTGAAGGTTATTTTTCACGGTACTTACGTGTTGAAGTCTATCAGATCAGGGAGTGACATATTCGGCATATTCTTAATATCAGCCTATTTTGCAGAGATATGAATCGACCGATAAGACTGACCATAAATATGCCGATAAAGGACGACCGATATAGATATTACGTTTAACGTTATTGAATGGAAAAACATTACAGTACATAGACCAACATATTAATTATGCCGAAGTAATTTCTTTTTGTTACGCGTATAATAAAACAAAAGTTAACCACAGTTTCACCTAAATCCGAAAGGCTTTCACGGCCATCATCCAATGTTATTTGGTTGGCTTTTGGGTAGAATCTTCAGAAGATGTTCAGAGTTCGGAGTCCTATGAGCTACTGACAGTAGCTCACAGAAGATGCCAACCACTCGTGTTGGTGAAACGCCAAGAAAAAAAATATTTTACCACGGCCTAACTATCCAAAAACTAACCAAATAACATTCACCTAAATCGCTTAGTGCATATTTGACGGTTCGCGATTTTCTCCAATGAGTACGACACAAATTTGTACTATCAATTTCGTCAGTCTTTTGACCAGTCATTTTGTTGAAATACTGGCAGACAGCATTAGCACAGTATTAAACTTGAATGGGAAAAATTGCTTGTCGACTTCCGGAAGTCGGGCTTGCGCCAGGTACACATCTAGGATGTGTATAGTAGACTTTTGCAATCCAATTTTTGTAATTCGAAACTGTATTGTAAAAATGTTTATACTAGATGCTGCGCCTTTTTTGACTGGTTTTTTCTTCCCACGCCTACTGATGGGGAAGTATTCTAATCGCGTTTTTTTTTAAGGATCATAGCGAAAGCAGCTAATGTGAGTATGTGTGGTTGTTAAGGATTTCGTCCGCGTACCGTCGATTACATACACGTCCTCTATGTGCAAGGACTTGTTTGTAGCCCACATACTCACCAGAACCAAAATACACCAGCTGTGGATGTTGTGATTGTCCGTAGGTGGTAGACGGTGTCTGACTGTCGAACGCGGAGGTACTACCCGGCGGATCTCGTAGGCGGAGCCAGAATGTGTGCATGTTGCATGCACACGTGTTCCCTCGCCAGAGTCCTTGTGGCGTTCCCCCTTTCCCCTGTATCCCCCTATAGCCTCTTGGTACCCAATGGGTGTTTAGGCCTTAGGCCTTCGTGGTAGTTGGAGTATACAAAAAATTGACTCTATCAATAGATCTGTCACACTTAGATTTACGGAATAGTTGTAAAAAAACTATATCTGTTAGATCGTAATTACGAGTATTTTGATAATGTATGTTTGTACTAAACAAGTACAGGAATACAGGTGTACATATTCACGTGTAGTGCAGCAGCTCTCTGATTTAAACGAATTCAATATAGCAACATAAATAGACACATACGCGAAAAGTGATGTGGGACGTGTGGTATTGATTTTGAGCATCGATCGACGCAGTTTCTAGACAGGCCACAGGCGCACCGCTAAACAAATCTCATAAATGTCGTATTTACAATTTAGGCATTCATCTAACATAGTGCTTCGCTACAACATCAACCCCGTCAGTCAAGCTTTACACACTTTTCAAATTACTATTGAGCAACAATCAGAACATAAATCACTTTTTAAGTGCAATCTGTATAGCTAATATATTACCCAGACTTAGATTTGTCACAAGTCACAATCCTCGTATATACGTAAGGGTTGTGTTGTAAACAAGTGATGTTAAAGAGGGACAGCATTTGGAATACCAAAGGATACCAAAAAATCATAATGCTCAGTCCCTATAGCTATAACTTTTAGTTAGCGCCCCCCGCGCCGCCCCTCTAAATCCGCCAGTGGTGAGATATCATTCCCCTTACCACATACACTATACTCAATGTCAAATTTCATTAACTAAAGCTTATTTTTGAGGTAAAACTTTTTTACGTTTTTCTTTTGAATTTTACCTCGAATATTACCACCATTTTTTACTCCAAGTCTCCAAACCATGTAAAATTAAATATACTATTCTATACAGCAGTAAAGTAAAAAATATCCTATTTTTCACGCCTTCTTGATCCACTACTGAGATATATTTTCATTTCAATGTTATAGTTTCGTATACCTTATTGAATGTACTTTCAGCCCTAGAAACAAAATTCATTTAATTTCCGAATTAAAACTTGGTGCTCTGATTCCAAGGTATTGAAAATCAACATTACTAGATTTCTTAACTTCCGTAAATTTTGAAAAAATAATGACATTGACGAAATGCGATACTACTCGCCTAGTTGGTTTAGATTTAGTTATTTTTATTGTTTACTGTATTTCAGTGGTGAAACAACGAATGCAAATGGTAGGATCACCTTACAAATCGGCCCTGAGGTGCGCAATCAATATTTACCAAAAAGAAGGCCTGGGGGCATTTTATCGTTCCTATACAACCCAGCTGACAATGAACATACCATTCCAGAGCATACATTTTATGGTGTATGAGCTGTCACAAACGTTTTTGAACAAGGTAAGCACGCCTCGATTCCTTTTGAACCCTACACAACGCTCGATTTTTTAATCACAGGTTAACTGTCAATAGTAGACCCCATCTACTTTACAGCCAGAATCGTCAGCCATCTAGCGGTCACGTGGTGACTGGGCTATTATACGTGAACGGAGATCCCTCACAGTTCCAACTAATAGCAGCTATTCTCTTGGTCGATTCTGGTGTAATATATGGCGCTTTTTGCTGTTTTATTCCCTCCGGGATAGAGGATAGTTGCGATGCTTTCGTTCGTTGTCCAGAGACGAGAGACCAAGCCTAGGCCTTGATGATGAGTAGCCAAGAAGTGCGAAACACCTGTCCATGGTCGGCTGTCTTTTGGTCGGACGGACGAAAGCATAACGTTTAGTTTAAAAATGTTTGCGTCAAATATTCCTTTTTTTTGCAGGATCGAGCGTATAATCCATTGGCTCACATGGCAAGCGGAGCGATGGCGGGAGGCATGGCCTCTGCTATTACCACCCCACTGGACGTTTGTAAAACGTTACTGAATACTCAACAAAGCGGTAAACCCAGCGGATTAGTGCAAGCAATTAAGCTGGTCTATAGACTAGGAGGACCTACGGCATTCTTCAAAGGTCAGTATAGGAATAAATTAAACTGCTAATATGGCTTCAAAATATTATGCAAGCTTGCGTAGGCGTCTTAGGTTGTTCAAGGTCAAATGTAAAAAAAAAAGACGACCGAAACGTGAAATATCGCTTCGAAATCACCATTTTTACTTACCGCGAGCAGGTATTGTGATTGCGAAACATTTCGAAAATATTGTTTCTTTGACGTGTATTACGAAAAAACGAGTCACTCATTTCCGTTGGTCTGTCCGCAAATCCTTGGGCCCCCTAAAAAATTGGAAAGTACCTATCGGATTTTGATGAAAGTTTATCGCAAGGTAACTTCTATGACCACGATGGAAAAGCAGTGTTGTTTTTGAATATCGATCCACTGGTGGTGGATCCGCGGGCAAAAAAAGGGAATCGCTTAAACTTATTTTTTGAGTTTCAGAAAAGTATAGCAAATTGGACATTGTAGGGGGTAGAGAGTTGTAATTATTGTCTCTTCGGTATCACAGAAAGATGTTCTATCATTAAATTGCTTCAGACCTTGGTAATAGTATGCACCTATCAAATTAAAATGGTAACATGTTCCAATCACGCCACCGATATTTAATGCTGCGCGTCTCGAGTTGTGCTCCCCGCTGCTCGTGCAGCAACCGCTTCACCTCACGAAAACGTCAGTTAACTGTGACCTTGACGATAAAGATACAGGCATGCCATAAGCATGCGGCGTATGTTCTTTCACGAGTGGACGGAAATTTCAGTAGCGTTACTAATATTTGACATATTGCTTTTATTTTTTTTTTTGAATCACGAGACAATTTTAACGTAGCAGTCTTTCGAATAAACTTTGTGCCAAGTAGGCCGACTTTATATCTCTTATGCTATTATTGTTTTGATCTATTTTTTATGCAAATAAATGGAACATAATTTAATTGATGACAGCGTTGCGTGGAAAGTACAGTCAACCTAATTGACGCCATTTTCTAAGATGGCGACGATTGGCTAATCCAAGAATCGAGACAACTGTGTTTTATACCTGTATTCACCAATATGACCATTACCGAATGGGCGTAAGAAACTGGGTACTTTAAAATAATTGTATTCGAGTAAGCACCTTATCACTCGTCTACTTTGCGGTGTATCTCAGCAATGGCGGATTGTATGAAATATTGTTATACAGGTACCTAGATTGTAAAGAGTTGTATTTTCTACAACTTATCTGATAAGTCCAAGTGGCGCTGGCTGCAAACAAAAAAACGTTTAGGCTCTGCAGGTTCAAATCCCGTCTCAAGAGAATTTTTTTCGCTATGGGTATGTGGATTGTCAGTAGGTGGTACACGGCCGCTGACCGTAGAGCGTGCAGGTACCACCCGGCGGATCTCTAAGGTGGAGCCAGAATTTATACACACGTGTTTCCGCGCAAGACTTCGTGTGACCCCCCTCTCCCGTCTTTCCCCTGTATCCTCCTATAGCACCACGGCACTCGCGGATAATTGAGCTTTAGGCCTGCGTGGTGAATATAAAAAAGACGCCAGCATGAGGTTATATGAAACTACTGAGCCAAGTTATAGAATGTGAAAACAGGTAAAGGTCCATGCAAATTTTCTGTTCTGAGGTTAGCAATTAATTTCTTGGGTTGATATGAATAGCGGACCAACTTCCGTAAAATCTATAAATCTAATTCGTGAATGTAAACTGTAGGTATGCAAGCTCGAGTGATGTACCAAATGCCCGCAACAGCCATCTGTTGGTCAACGTACGAGTTTTTCAAATACATCCTGGGCAAGAACCACGAAGTACGAGTGATACCACAACCTCTGTCACCAGAAAAAGAAACCTCAAAGTTAGAACCTGCGCCTAGCGACGTCCACAACGAAAAGTACAGTCTGAAGTCCAGGGACTTACCCGCAATGTCCAGCGCAGGCCTGTATGGCTCCATTCAGTTTAACACCATGCACAAGACCGACTACAAAAAGAAAGACTTCACCGATATGATCCATACATAGCGATTTTAAGTCGCGTACCTCATTCTGCGTACTGTAAGTATTATTTTTAACCGTTGAACATGTGTACAGATTTGTAATATATATATATGAATATGATTATGATAAATGTTGGCTTATTCATCTGTGTTGGGATGATGGAAAAATAGAATTTAGGGTGGTGAGTGGGCACCAGGCACAAAATATTTTTTTTGAAAAATTTGTTACTTTAGAATATCCACTCAAAACTTCGGCCATTTTCTGTATGTAAATATATATTGTGATTGTATCAAGAATAGACGTCAATGATTGTAAATTGGCTTAACCAGTTTTAACAGTCAACATTTTCCTTGAACAATAACTTGAAATATAGTAATTCTCTGTTACTTTGTGCTGCTACGGTAAACTAAATTGATATTTTCATTACCCCATTTTTTATCGAGGTAGATCACCTTGAGGAGCCAAGATAAAAATGTCGACAATATACTGAAACTAGTTTTTTTCAATATGTTTTCTGTAATTTTATATTTTTGCCTTAACTTCTTGTTGCAGTTGTGTGCTCATGTTGTTTGTGACAACTGCAAGATCAAGTGATGAAGTTTCTCTTTACAAAATGGCTGTATCAAATATAGCATTTCAAAGATAATTGTAGATGTCCCGTTTTATCAGAGGTGGCATTCTAGTTCCTCATTGCAAAATGCTTAGGAGTAAAAATAAGTAGTTATTAACTTTTGTGTTAGATGGCCTTATTGCTGTTTTCATTTTTTATTTCAATTTTTCATGGTATTTAATTCTCCTCTTCTCAATTTTTGTTTTATTGTATTTGAGGGATTTCATTTAAACCATTTCACATTCATATTGTTCATAATAATCAATCGTATATCGTGGCTTTTGTCAGAACTGTAGTGGAAACTGGAATGCTATTCTATTTCAATATCTAAAACTCTGGCAGTGTTTAGCTATTGAAGAAAAAATAACTCTTTCCTTCAAACTTTTATTTCCTCAAAAAGGATAAAAATGTACGTATGTATGAACGTATTAAAATAAAACTCATACAATTTCATATGTTGATATTACAAGTATACATTTTAACATCAAATAATAATCATCTTTTACATTGCTATATGTTACCATTTGAGGTACAGATACGTTGAATATCTTGCACATTAGGAATACGGTTTGATACTTGATCTACGTTTGTATACCTACCTCAATTTCTATGACATAACTATAAAAGACATTTAAGAATTCATGCGACGTTGCCAGACTTCGCACAGATTAGCAGAGACATATAAAGTAACATTTTGTAATCCATTCTACGCTTCGGATTTATTTCAATATTTTGATAATATTTCGACGGCCTGCAATCGGTGGTACTATCGTTGAACAGATGAAAACAAAATGTTTTCAAACTGTTGTAAGACATCAAATACCAGTGCTGGCTGCTGCAGAAAAGTTGAAACAACAACATACCGTGTAATATCGATTTCAACGTACTTACGCCAGATAGCACCTCGACGTTCGCTTTGTGCTGTGGAACGTTGAAACAAAACATCAGTGTGATGTTTAGCAATATGATTTTCTGTTAACCCTATGGGTCACTATACACATGTATGCATATGATAGGTACTACTTCCATTTTTATGTTGTATAATTATTTTGCCAGATAGTGATATTTTTGGTCAAATTATGAGTAAACTTCCATTGGCAGTGACGCAGAAAGAAATTCATCACCAGGTGGAACAGTGACAGAGCAAGGTGGTTTAGCTGGATAAACTAAGTATTTTATATGATATGATATTTCATAAGCTACTGTCTCGTACCCACATTGAATCTATCAATATAACTTTTTTTGAGGAATTAGTTTTTATATAATAATACACAAAAGATATTAGATGCGCATGTATGTGGTGCGATGTTTCTTTTTCCAGAATGCCGAACAAGACGTTTTACTTCCAAATGTCATTATTCTGCTTTTTTGTCCTCTGAGCAGAGTAGCAACGTTCTATTTTCTGTATTAATATAAAACGCTAAGTTTATTCAGCCCAAAACCAATTTTGCTATTGTACAAGCCATTATGTGGAACAAATTTTTCAACGATTTGTTGATGAACTTATGTAATATAAATCCAATGGAGGATAGGGCCAGTCTTACTGCTATGAAGAAAACGAACAATAAAAATGTTAATAAATGAACAGTGAATAATCTGACCATTATGCTGCGTTTAATGTTTTGTGTTTGTTGCAACAAGGCTGGCCTAGTAAGGGGGGATCCTTCCAGAATAATATCAATTTCCTGAAATCAGAGAGATACACAATAATTGTTTTAAAATGTGTAATGGGTACATTGATAGACTGCTGGAAGCATCTTCCTAGGTTTCATACAAATTTCGTCATTACCAACTGATATAAGAATATGTTGGTTATCATTTAGCCAATATTTCTTATTGATAACTTATGATTCTGTTCTAACTGAATGATTTTCAGCCTCTCGGTAGGCCTAAATTATTTGGGTTGGGGATATTACTGAACATTGAATCAGAACGATTTTCTTTTTCAACACAACTTAGCTGGATAACATGACCCAATGTCAAGACACCACTATTGAAGGTTAACAACTACTGCTGCTTATAACTCAAACCAGTAGTCACATTTTTTTTATAATAAAAATAAGGGTCCCAATTTGTGTTTAGAAATTGTTGCATAGATGATATTGTCAACAACAATAAAGTACAATTGAGTAACCTTAAATCAACGCCTCAGTGCTCTTGTCGTCTTATCTGAATACCCCAATTTGCATTTATAACTGAAAGAGTTTGCATTCGTTAACAAATGATGGCAGATGGATGATTTTATGGTTTATGGGATTCCTAGACATACAGATATACAAGCAGATGATAGATAGAAAAAATTTTCCAATCCTTAACATGAATCAGTGTACAGCATCATGTCAATAAAACTTGCGAATTTTGTGTGAAACTTCGTGCTGCCAGTTAATCTTTACGTTTAGTTTGCCATTTGTCGCTAAAGACGTTTTATGAAGCTGTGATAAAGTCCTTATCAACTGATACGTATGATATTGACTTCGTTCAGATGGGAGTACTATCATATTCGTTACTTTTCGTTATTTTGGAGATGCGTGCGCATACTGCGCGTGGCATTTTTCCGTTTTTGTGATAAGAGACTATGTCACCAAAAAAGCATAGAATACTGTACAATACTGGACTGATGCTGATAGATGAATGATATTTCTTCGATAATTCGCTGAGTGAGGAAAAAACATTAAAATGACCATTTGAAGTTAGATGTTTTCTAATTGACAATTTTATGCCAAGAAAGTGGCTCAACATAATCATATGAAACTGGTTCTTCACTGAGAACATTAAAATAGACATACGTTAATATTTGTCACCTTATTTTATCGATGAAATACTATAGTTTATATACCTTTGTCCAGTAGTGTATATCTTGTTTTAATAAGGTTTGTATTGATGAAAACAATTTAAATATAATGTTACATAAAACCATAATATTGTTTTGACTTAGTTTTAGGAACCCAAAAACATTGGGAGCATTGAAAAAACGTGCTTCAGCATCTAATGTCAGTGTCAGTATGATATTAAATTTGGTTAATCAGTATCCTTCCATGATGTCTAATTTGATTTGATATCAGACTGACATTACCGCTATGCAGCTCTTCCCCTTCCTAAGTGTGCCCTTTATCTTGCGATCCTTTTAGCCTTTGTGGGAATCACACAAAAGACAAAAGTAACATTTCTATTTAGTGGAAGTTAACTTTGTTCAAAGATTCGGCGTGGTAGAATTAACTTCACCAAGTTCATTAAAAAAATCCCTTGAAATGGAGAAGTTGATGTCGTTTGAGGATTAAATGATATTGTAAATAGTGATCATGCTTACGAATTCATTCAGTGATACGTTTGCAAAACCAGCAATCCTGTATTCTTATCAGACGAAGTGGTGATAGTAGTATTGAATATAAAAATTAGTTGTGCTGAGACGTCAAGTCATTCCCGCTCTGGAGGCAGTCTCCCTCTGGGATCATCTGTTGCCATTCTACCCTGTGCGAAGACCAGATGGGCTGTACTGTGCCAAACATAAGTACCACAGCTTTATACCTTTATATTCAATAGAGTGTATTTGTGGGTACTTCTGTTTTTTTCATTATCGGTTCTTTGCGGCGTCAAGCGAGACTTCTGTCAGGATTAAAACTACACCCCCCTAGTCACAATCGTGACAGTATAATTTAATGAAATGAACTTTTTTTTTTATATATATCGAAACAGCCGCGCAGGCAGAAGCCTAAATGCCGGAAACACCGCGGCTGCTATGATGATCCCAAAGAAATTTTGTTAATACGATTTTTGAACTGCCTAAGGTTAGTAGAACTGGGAAAAGCGTCCTCCCGTAGTTTGTTCCACAAACTAGACACCCTCAGGACAAAGGAGCGGTCGTATCGGCCAGTTCTGGATGTACGAAGTTTGACACGGTTAGGATGAGACGCCGAAGTCAGGCGGGTCTGTCTGGCAGGCACATCGCGCGGTGGCATCATGGAAGAGAGCTCTGAGGAGCAAAGCCCGTTGGTGTAGCGATAGAAAGAGCTAGATCGCCGACGGCCCGCCGGTGCGAAAGAGTCCCGAGACTGTCTGTTAGAGAAGAGTCATCGATCAGTCGGTCCGCCCTCCTCTGGACAGCATCGAGCATGGACAATGTAGTCGGGGCGACAGCACCCCAAATGTGTGAGCAATACTCGAGGCTAGGCCTTATCTGGGCCTTGTATAGAGTGAGAAGGTCATGCGGAGAAAAGTACTTCTTAGCCCTAAACAAATAGCCTAGCTTTTTCCCAGCAGCTGCAGCTATTGAAGAGATGTGTTCGTGCCAAATCAGGTCCTCGGTGATCTGGACTCCGACCAACCGAAATGAATGGCTCTTTGGTAGAACTCGACCGTCCATCGAAACTGTATGAGCGCTAGGACGCTTTTTGTTCGTCAAAGTACAGTACTGTGTTTTGGAAGCATTGAACTGTACAAGATTGTTGCGTCCCCAAGCAGTGATAGCCTCCAGGTCTCTTGTCAGAGAAGAAGTCGTCGCTAGTCTTCTTTTTTCCAGCTCAGCGGCAGAGATCGGCTTGTCACTCTGAATTCCTGCATGTAGAGTGCTGTCATCAGCGAAGCTGTGGATTGGGTTGATCGTGCAGGAAAGGAGGTCGTTGATATGTAAGAGAAACAGTGTTGGAGCCAAGACCGATCCCTGGGGAACACCCGCGTTGACGTTGTGGGATGAAGAGGAGAATCCGTCAATTACGACGGATATCTTGCGGCCAGAGATAAAGTCAGCCACCCATCTGCAAAGCTTTTCTGGGAGGCCGTAGGATGGAAGTTTGCTCAAGAGGGCAGCGTGCCACAGCTGATCGAACGCTTTCGTGATGTCAAGAGCAACGACATGAGCCTCACCATGAGACTGGATGAGTTTACTCCACAGTTGCGTGACGTAAGCTAGGAGGTCCCCTGTGGATCGTTGGTGCCGGAAATCGTACTGCCTGTCGCTAATCAAGCTGTGACGTTCGAGGTAGTCCAGAAGCTCGCGATTTATGCACCTCTCCATCACTTTACTTATAACAGAAAGCAGAGCTATAGGCCTGTAGTTGTAAGGGTCGGTTTTAGATTCTTTTTTTGGGATGGGCTGTACATGAGCAAATTTTCAGTTTTCTGGGAAGGTGCCGGATTCATAAGATATCTGGAAGAGACGCGAAAGAACTGGAGCAAGCTCAGCTGCACATCTCTTCAGTACAATGGCAGGAATCAAGTCCGGACCAGAAGCTTTGTTGATGTCGAGCGACAAGAGCACTCGTCTTACGGTCTTATGCCTGAATGTTACCTCCCGCATAGTGTGGGGAACCCTTTGAATTGACGGCACTTGGGCGTTAGTGGGGACGTCCATGGTGGAGTTGGCAGCAAAGATCTTGGCTAGCACTTCCGCCTTGGCCTTTGAGTCGAATACAATAGTTCCATCCTGACACGCAAGTGGTGGAAGGCTACTGTGTGAGAAGTTCTTTTCAATCTGCTTGGCCAGCGTCCAGAAAGACCGACTGCCATTGCGCTGCGACATTACCCTGTGCCTAACTTTTATATCATGCTGGGTTTTGGCATTGCGAACCGCTTCGTTATATTTGTTTCTGGACTCGACGTCGGCTTGTCTGTTCTCTACAGTGGGGTTTTGTAAGTCGATTCTGTGGGCATTGATCTTCTGCTGGCGAGCAGTGTCACACGATTTGTTGGACCCTGGTTTAGGAGCTTTCACTGTGTGAGGGATGTATTCCTCCATTCCGACGTGGATAATTTCGGTTATTGAAGAACAGACAGTCGACGCATCCGCGTCAGTGAAACAGACATCTCTCCAAGGAAAGCTAGAGAAGAAGTCTCTGAGCCCCTCCCAGTCGGCATGTCCGTAATGCGGCCACAGCGGCTTCTAACCTCCACAACACCGTGATCTGAGTTACCCAGGGGGGACAGGACGGCAGTGCTGTAAGGGGCAGGATGCGTGGTCAGAAAGAGATCCAGCAGGCTACTGGCGTGTGACGAGACGCGGGGGAAAAAGTAGGGCTCGTCACCAGCTGGGTCAGCCCTTGAGTAAGAGCGAACGCTTCGACTGCACGACCTGCTGCATCGGTCTTATTTGAACCCAACCAAAGCTCATTATGGGCATTGAAATCACCGAGAAGAACTACCTCTGAAGCGGGGTGATTGATGTTCAGGAAGTCGATCTGGACGGCGAGGTATTCGAGTAGGTCATCCTAGTTATGGTTCGAGGGAGAGCGATAAAGGCAGCAAATAAATTTGGGTGATGTTTTGGAGTTGAGGCGAAGCCACAGAATGTCCTTCCGGTCTGATTCCAAAGAAAGATCCATGGAGCAGGAAAGACTGCTGCGGACAAAAGCCACAACTCCCCCGTTCTTTCTCAGATTGGAGTGCATCTCGTAGTTTGGGAAGTTGAGATGGTTAATCGGTGCAGCCTCTGTGATTTTTGTCTTCGCGACTATTAGACAAATACCTCTTATTAGTCGATGTCTTCAGGTGGATTAAGTGATATATTATGGTGAAATTAACTTCTCAAGCTTATTTGACAAAATCTCGATCAGGACTAGTCTGGGTCGTCGGGTAGATTAAAGGATATAGTGTGGTGAAATGACCTTCACAAGTGTATCAAGTCAAATCATCTTGAACAAGAGTAGTCGATGTTCTCTGAGGGATTAAAGCATGCGGCCTGGTGTGCGAGTCAACTTCGCGAGTTTATTTGGCAAAAACATCTCGAACGGGAGTAGTCGATATTGTCGGATAAAAATCGTTTTGCAAAATTGACTGTATCCGCCCATGTCGACTTAGCAAGTTAATTTCACCAGAGTATATCGACTAATCCTGCGGTTTTTTCGATGCGCTACGGATGATTAGCTTCGCATTTTTCAGTATGTTTATATATCTTCTCTGGCCATCTACCAGTCGGTATCATGCAAACGCTCGAGAACGTCCCTGGTCATAGTAATCTACACTGAAAACTGACGGCTTGAGTTCAGTGTGTACGAGAGAGTGTTACATGTTAGAAAGAGATAGAAGCCGCCTGGACAGCGAGGCTAATCACCGCGTTGCCTGGCAACGCTGATGCGCCATTCTGCCGCATTGTCAATATGTTACACCAGTTCCTTGAATTAAGAAGCATTTTGAAAATATGCGTTAGTTTATTCTTTACGTAAAAATAATGGTTTTGAGCGCACACATTTTTGAGTTGTGAATTGTGTCGAATCTGTTTAAAATTGATTCCCGATCGGTTCTAACGGCGCTCCATTTTAGGTCGAAATGAAACATCAGGATCGCCACAAATTCTGCAACGTTGCATCATTGGTTCGTTCGATAACACTGCATCTTGTACATTCTAAGCCCACGTTTCCACCTCCATGATCATAGTTGATCGATCTAGCGCTCGTAGGGGAATATCGTCCTAATTGAAATAAATAAATAATTCTAATCAAAATGAAAACAAAATATTAAATTAAATGTTCGAACAGACCTCCTTGGGTTTGACAGTAACCTAACCTATTGTAGCAGCCTATGCGAAAATTTTCTGGTGTAACATATTGGCAACTCGGCAGATTGCAAGACCTGCGTCCGCGTTAATAGGGAAAGTGTTGACTTTCGCTCTTCGGCCTGCTTCTATCTCTTTCTAACATGTACGTTGATACATGCTTCCCGCGCTTTTCTCGTACACATTGGACTCAAGCCGTCAGACAAATTTGATTTTCCCTGTATGAGTGAAGATGAAATGAAACATATTCACTGAAACACAATATGTATTTAGAAAAGAAAATACAATGATATCTCGTAAAATTTTTCTAAACAATTAGTATATACCTAGCCATCATACCATTGGTTAACGTAACGGAAATGTTTTAATCAATGATCATACATATTTTACAAGTTTGAAAAACCGTTTGTTTTCTGTAGTACTAATGCAAAACTGAAAATCACGAAGCAATGTTCCTCCATACGTTTATAATTACTCGCTCATACATGAACCACTTTTTATAACAAAATATACTGCATGCCGAGAGCAAAAATAATTCCGCTATGTTTTTCCCATGTAAGGGAAACGGAATAAGTGTCAACCACGCAGTACAATACTGCGTTTAAGAGTGATCAGTGACACCACCGCGCAAATATTTTTGTTCCCGATTGTGAATGCATCATAAATAACACCCTAGGTTCACAAATACAGAAAATGGTACAAGTAGGCGAAGAAACATATACAAGAACAATGGATAAGAAAAAATGTGCAAAGCATATTTTTTTTTCTACTCTGTATAAATACACATTTTGGCATTTTTGCACATCCACCAAAAATAACAATATTTTTAATTGTGATGTCTAAGTTATTTTCATATTTGTCCAAATTCCCATTATTTTGACTTCAGATTGGTGTTCAGAGTGAAAAATATATGGGAAACAATACATAGTGAGATTCCAAGCACGCGCCACTTTTTATTTTTTTGTGGATCGTTTTTATGCGTTTTCTCTACAAATTGTCCACCGCTCCCCAAGTTTGACTTCAGATTCGCATTCAGCGTGAAAAAGTACATTGGAAAAGCATAATCGGACTCCAAGCATACACTACTTTTTTATTTCATGGGCCAGTACTATAACAAAGGAAGTTAATTGAAAGTAAGGTATATGGTGGTTCCAAGTTTCCGGTAATATGAACATTGTAGGAAAATGGATAAGGAACACGATTTTCGTTAGTGTACAAATTTAATACTGTTTAACAGCAATCACCTGGGACACAAATACGCCTCTTTGATACATTTGGTCGCGGCTTATCAATCGCGGATCCGTTATTTTTCTGAAAGTTAGCTTTCAAAAAGCGTTTTTCAATGTCAGGTTGATTCTAAAACTGTAATTAACTGTAACTAGAAGATCCATAAGTTAGCCAAAGTGCTGCAGTTAAACGGTAATGACGCAATGTTTAACGTAGTTTGCTCGACAGTGGCAAAAGTTGTCACGTATAACCGGGAACAAACAGCATCATCATCACGAAACGCGCAGGGTTGTAGTTGGCAATGGCATAACTTAATGCTGCAGTCAGCAAAAACAGTCTTTCCACATCAACAGTTATGGGTTAGTTAGCCACAACTCTCAAAACTAATCTACAGGGACGTGTTAAGTGACTTTCAGGTTAGAGTTATTCAATTCGAAAGTTAACTTGATGTTAAAAGAAGCGAGGTTATGTACCCATGTGACATTGAAACTAATGGAAAAACGCCTTCAGTCACAAATCTATGAAAAGTACCGACGTAAGGGTGGTGCTAATTATGTCTTAACAGTGTAGAAAATACTGTTTCAAAATTGTAAGGTTGATGGTGTTTCATGTATTAACATTTATCTCGGAATAATACCATAAAATCCTTAGTCGCCGCATTTGTCTGCTTTGCGCACATTGTCTCTAATCTCATTATTATAATCACTAGCGGCCTAACGGCTGGTTTATGAAACTTTTTCTTTGAGTATTATTTTATCGTTAAATTATAGGTGAGGAAGTACGTAAATGAAATTGTTAATTTTATTTTTATTAAACTATTATTCAAGTATGCATTTGTCAAATCAATAGTTTACTAGTGGCTTGCCTTGTACTGTGAGGTAAAAAACGATGATATGATGCCGTAACCTGGTTTCGATATTTCCTGGAGGGAGATTGTTATACGTTGGTCGCACCTTTAAATAACGGTGTCGGACATTTTTCCCCAAGTGTTTAACCCTTTGGAGTCTATCGGGACATACGTGTCCCATCCATGTATTATGTGCGCCTAATGGTACAAATAGATCCCGTTTTTTCCATTATACATAATATACCAGTCTCTGAACACTCACTATACAAGTACCTGTTGACAAGTAGTCACATAACTTCACAGTTTGCTGGTGAAGTCCGTCCAGCCAACATGTGATTTGCGTTCTACTATATTCTGAAGTATTTGCAAGTGTATTATTGCCCTAACTGTATTGTGTCTGCTCTCTAAGGTTAGTAGTAAGCAATTCTCTTATAAAACGTGTTGTATTTCAGTACTTTATACTATGGGACACCTGGGTCCCAGCAGGCATTTTGAACTGGACACATTTGTCCCGGTGGTTCTGTACAACAATGAGTGAAAGGAGATTGACACAAAGAGAACTTGAAGAAGAAGTTAAAAGAATTATGGAAGATGGCTTGAGTGATGACGATTGTGTTCTTCAATATAATTTCAATGGAAATAATTGTTTTCAAGACTACTGGGTCTACTATGTACCACCTAAAATGTCTAGTGGGACAAATGTCCCGGCCCTTAGCGTAAAAAGGACGTACCCTACATTCATAAAATTATCATTTCTTGATATAGTATCCATATTCACAAAAAATCTGACCTCAGATATATCACAAGTATAAGAAAAATAAATCAGACTCCCAAGTTTTAATATCTTGCACTAACAACTTGCTTAACATCGTTCATATCGATTAATTTTCTTTTGTAAACGTCCCCATGATATTTATTAGTATTTATGTAAAAAGGCACAGGAAAAAGCTTTATCTCCAAGACAATATTGACGTTCACTATTTGTCATACTAATCTGATTTGATATCACGGAGCTTATTTACCTAGAGAAACTACGGCAATACTTTTTGTGATGTAAAAATGCCCCCAAAACTTGATACACGCGAAGTGCCAGTGGTGCTTTAGCCGTGTTGAGGGATTTTCCCCCAAATTTGTTCTGGGGGAAATTACAATTTTCGTAACTACCCCCTTGCTCTTGGAGCAATCCTATCCCTTTTCATTAATTATGATTTGGATTTCTTTTGAACAATAGCAAGTCTGAGGGATTTTTGTGCTTGTTCTGGGGAAATTCTGCCCGACTCATCTGGCAATGCTGTGTTTCCTAATAGTCTATGTTCTGGCCGATCGATTACTGCGCCTTCAGTTCGGCGTCCAGTTTTGGGTCGTTTTTTCTCATTACGCATGTTTTCCGGCCCCCGGGTTTGATAGTATGCGTTAAAATTCAGCATTAACCTTTTCGCGCAAGGTATAATTGCAAGTTGACTGCCTTTTATAGATCAGCCCTTCTATATCTAATTTAAAGGATACACTCAAAATGGTTTCACGAACGGCAGTATTTAGCTATGGCAGTTTCAACATTGATATTAATGCCAATGCTAAATGCAAAAGAAAAGTTTCATGGACCAACCTTGAGCCGCAAGTCCCTTTTTTCGCCTTTTTCCAACTAGCTGTTTGCAACAGTATTCTGAATTCTTTTCATCTGATTACTTTAGCATGTATAGGTATAATGACTAAAAAACATCGTTTTTAATTTTGTTTTGCCATAAAATTCATTTTTTTGAGGATTTCTGGTTCGATCGTATCTATTAATGCGGCTCTGAAATTGTCTGTGAATATTCCACTTTTATGGACGAATGAAACAAAAGTAATTACTTTTATTCTTATCACTTTTTCTCTTTGAAAAATCTTTGCTCTTCTTGAAAATTCAACTTGCTGCGAGACGAGGCTTTGAGACAATCAAAGATTTTTCGAAAAGGAAAAGTGATAAGAACAAAAGTAATCACCTGTTTCATTCTTCCATCAAAGAATATTCACACACAATTTCAGAACCGTATTTGTTGTAATCTACACACCAAGAAACTATCAGACGAACAGGATTTAGAATACTATTGCAAACAGGTAGTTGAAAAAAAATTGAAAGAGGGATGTGCCACCTTAATATGTAATAATAACATAAAAAGAAATTATAATGAGTTTATGAGCTTGATGAACGGTAACTTGACGAACAGTTTCATGTACCAACTCATTCAAATTGAATGATAAAACATTTTTCAAACTTCAAATCCTAACTGCAACAACCTCGGCTTGTCAAAAGTATTCATGTTTAGGCCATGCTTAGACGCTTTTCTAAACGCTCATGCATGGTCGTCTTAAGTTATGTAGTGGCCCCTGGATACCCAGGGGGCTAAAGGCAGCTCAGGGTAGCCTGGCAGCACTTTGACATTGAGAAAAAGAGGGTAGGAGGTGAAGGCATATGTTTTTTGGAAATTTCGTCTGATTTTTAGCTATTTGGGGACCTCCAACATGCCGGACTCTAGGCATGTGTCCATTGTGCTCATATGGCAAAACTATAATAGCGCTTATGACGACTACGATTCATGGTTGTCACTTCCTCCTACTTTTCCTAACATGGCGCACCCTTTAGTTTGCATAGATATGTACAGAGCAAGCGGACGAATCCAAATTATGATCAGTAACAGATATTTTATATTATTAATTGACTAGTCTATGTCAGCAAAAACACAGTATAATATCACAAAACAACGTCTTTTAAAAATATCCACATAAGCGACATATATATTTTTCATAAAGTAACATATACACAACATAAAATTGAGATTCCCGAGTTTCTGCTTTGCAGAAATGAAATAGTTTCATTCAAATTATGTTACACATTCTTTATGACTTATTTTGATGTAGAAAACTACACAAATTCGGCAATAATTCCCTTTGATGAGAATTCTTGCTGAAGGTGATGATGAGTATTTTACGTATTTTTAGATTTTAGCAGATATATCAAACAAAGCCGAATGATCTGCATATACTTTATCTCAATTTTGAATTGGTATATACTATCTCAAATGATGAATTAAACGAAAAAGATAACGAATTTAATTTAGGAGAGTATAGAATCCACTCAGTACTAAAATCATTCATAATAATTAGGATTATCACTCAAACACAATGAATTAATATGCTACAGAGTAGAAGCTATTTCATTAAAAGTACCCTAGGGAATGTATGTACACGTAAGTACATACAACAAACAGTACGTTTTTTTATATAAAAGCACCTGTTATAAATATAAGGCCTACTGAAGAACGCATCGTTTTCTTAAAGTAGATAAAAATATTCAGCTAAAAATTGGACACTTCCTATATTGTGAAGTATATTCAATTTTTCTCATAAGTGGAGGGTCTATGACAGTAGTTTATAAAAGATTTATTCAATTCGTGAATCTAAATGAAAGAATTACAGAACAAGTTTGTGTAAATAAAATGCAACGTCCATCAGGATATGTATTTTCGATCTTAAAAACCAAATGTATCCTATGTTTTGAATTCTCGACAAGCGTTTTTGGTAACCTGACTTTAGCTACCCTATTGAAATACAGTAACTTTCCGTGACTTTTAGTATGCTACTGTAGGAAACCATATACGCTCCCTCTGAAAATAGTTGATACTTCGAACAACATTCCAATGTCGTTCTACATGGCGCTAAATGCTTAGAAGTTTTGATCAAATTTATTTTATCTACAAATTTTTAAACTTACATATTAACATCACAATTAGGTCAATGTCTTAATAATAATGAAAAATCAACAAAAACTTCTACTCTTGCATCTAATCTTCATGAATTTCATCTTCGTGGGCGAACTTAAGAAACACTTGTTCCAACGTTGTTTGACTGAAGCTGTATTCCTCTATGTCCAGCTCAGATTTGGCTGAAAGGAACAAAAATATTGAGTCAAATCGATTGACTCGATGCTTGTCTTCAGAATATATATTTATACTTTTGAATACCGACAATCATATTAGACGAAAATACCTCTGGTTTGCGAAATAATTGCAAAGTCTGGTTTTATTGGTGTAAGTTGTTCAAAGGGGTGTTCAAAACATGGACGCATAAAATGGGAACACCAATTTTTCTGGGAAAACTATTTATTAGACAACAAAGAATGAGAAAACCTGTTTTTTGGGATTCAATCGAAAGTGTTGGCAGGAACGAAAGAAACTATTTATGAGACCTACAAAATGAGACTACACGTAAAAAGATCTAATACTAGCAAAAAAGTTATAGCCGAAAACCGAGGCAAACTGCAGGTTTTGGCACTTGTTGGTAATGCGACGATGGTTTCTCGCAGATATTTGAAATTTTTCAAATTCGTAGGATTCGCATTTCTGAATAACCACAACAAAATTGGAGTAGATTGGTCAAGTAGTTTTCGAGAATTTCTAATTGTTTATCCCAAAACACCTGTTTTCCGACCATCACTACTAGTTCATTGAGCAACATACAGGGTTAGTTCAAAGGGCATTTTATAGCAAAATGCACTAGTTTACATTGCCGATATGAATCGCAAACTATTCAGGACGATAAATTTGTGAGATTTTATCACGGTTTTTGCTGTGTGATTCAAAAAGCGATCCTAATGGTAGTTAATATACTTGATACCAATGAACATCATTATACGAGTAGATACAAGATATATCCAAATATATCCTTATCAGTTATAGCCTCAGTATGAACAGAGATGACTCAGTAAACAGTATATAAAAGTTTACAAATAAAAAGCCTTAAGAGAATAAATGGCTACATCAGCTTGCTCCTTAAAGAAGCAGCTGCTAGAGCAAAAAAAAACAAATTTAAACAATTCTGTAATAATGCAAATGACTACTAAGACATTGATAATTAATAAAGTTTTGACATTAAGAAATATAGCGAAGTTATAGTAAGTAGAGAAATAGAAAGAGAAGAGAAAAGGGGGAGCGGGAGATATGTTTTTATGATACATGAGACAGTAAATCACTTTTAAGGTCCTCTTAAATGTAGCTACCGAGAGAGAAAAATCTTTAATTTTGAATTTATTTACCAAAAAGGCAATTTGATATGAGAATGATTTCTTAAACGATTCTTTATTGTGTGATGGTATTGTAATCAAATTCAATCTTCTAATGCTTAGATTTATGTACATCAGTACAGTAAATAATTTTTAAGTGCAGGTAAGGGGGGCTTTTATATTTTATAATCTTGCATGCTGAGGAATTCCCCATATTTTAAGCAACAAACCTTTTGGAACAGTAAATTGAGATACTCGACTGTTATGTTGTCAAAACCAAAGTGCATGTTAGGTCAGGAAGTCCACCAGGTGTCTCCTGAAGTACCACCTATGTATGTTCTAAGTATACCTGGGTGGTGCAACAAAAATATCACAATTAAGGATCAGTTTAGCTTAAAGTCAACCTCAGCAACGCGTTCCCAATATGTACTTCATAACGCGCAATTTATTGTTACCTAGGCAAAACAAAATTCACAAACTTCATTTGACCATTCTATTTACAATGGTGGAGCCTTAAAATTCGCGTATTGTCAAAGATGCCCGATTTCCAGCTCTAGCATCTACATATTGGCGGTGAACATATGGTATAGATTTACTTAAATGGCTGCTACTCACTTTTCTCTAACTGCATGAAACATTTGGCCAGCGAAGGCACGCTCTGCTGAGGCACACTGAACACCAGTCGATCGGCGAAGCTTTCCTGCAAAGTGGCGTCCATAAACAAATTAGAGACGAATTCTTTTAACGCGCTGTGGCGATCCCTGCAGTCTGAGGTTGGTGTTGAATCTCCACCCCGTAACTTCATCTCCAGGGTGTAGCCAGCGCCGTATAGGTTTTTCAGGTGTTGGGTCGAGCCCAGACATCTGAAAACGAACGAACATTTGTGTCATTCCCTCATTCGTCGGCTAAATACGTTAAACTACTAACTCCTTTCTGTGAGCTTCACAGGAGGAACAAAAAAAGATTTTACAACAACGGTGTGCATTTAAACAAGCCGTTATTAAAGAAGAATATTTTTGATGATAGTTTCAATGTGTTAACAAGAAAAAGATGTGCAAAAAATTACTGTATTAGATTTTATGGACAAAAACTGGAGTTGGCAGTTGTTCATTTGAATAGAAAAGAAGGAATTTTGGAGTTAGCAACTTTTATTTTTAGTAGTATTCAAAAAGATCAAAACATCTAAACATCTAAAAATTCACAGGTGTGGCAAATTATTATAAAAATGGTGATAGTCCGCTGAAATCGTACAGTTAATTTCTTGAGGGTCGGAATATTTTCGCGCAGATATTGGAATTCTATCTTTATACAGATGGTCCAACACCGCCCAGGCAATAATGTCGACTTGAGACTTTCTTTGCGAAAGTAATTTTCATTCATCAGACAACCGAAGTTTATAATAGATGTCCCCTACTGGTGTATATTTTAGGTCCCGAATATCAGTTACCTACAAATAAAAATTAAACAATGTAATATACCAAGCACTCTTATAATTTAAATGTTTTTATTACTTTTTTTCCTCTTAGCTTATTCCCAAGTCAAATACTTCTAACAGCTCCCTCCTTTTTTGATTAAACGGAAGAAAGAGTGATCTAAGTACATTACCTCGTAGGGCTTAGGATTTTTTCTGGCTTTTTTGCAGTGGTATGCATAATCTGCAAGGTTACGGTTAGCCTTATTCGATTTACACAACGTTCTATGGTGGCACGCATGAAATCCACTTGCATTTGAGTATTTTCAACCTCTAAATATTTATTCTCAAGTATAATATCACGTTTTCTGCATAAATTTAAAGCTGCGTCAGCCAAAATCACGTTTCTGTTCTGGTACGTACAACCATCACATTATTATCTTTCGGTCACCTTTGTCCATTGTAGGAATGACTTTTGTTTCCAAAAATGAGTAGAAACATCAGGAAAATTCTTCTGCGGTTAGTCCACCCTTCCCCTCATGCCATAAGAAACAATTTGTTGAGCATAATTATTATAAAAGCAAAGGTTGTGAACGCATAATTTTGTCTTGTTACATGAGCGGCTAACATTAGATTTAGGAGACATTAAAACAGCTTGAAGATCACTAGTAAATACGCATTTCTCATTTTCCACATCATTTTGTTTTTCTGCCCTGGCCTAATTTTTGTTTAATATATGAGCGTTAGGGTTTTTCTTTATACGACGTGTAGATCTTAAGAAAATAAGCGGATTTTCTTAAGAGATCCGAGATATTGGGCTCCGCAAACTCCATCAAATCTGAACCAAACCGAAGACGGTCCTGACCCTCGATCACGTCCACAGCGCTAGCGTACAGTTATACGAGGTACGATTACAATGTAAATACGCTAGTATGCAACCTAACCTAGACGCCGGTAGTGTAGGTCAACAAACCATTACATTGGTAACCGATTGCTGTTCAAAAAATAAAAAAAAATGGCACACTCATACACCAATAGCTAACTGAAGAAGTCAATTTCATTAAAAAAAACAATAATAAATACTGCTATCTTCCAAATACGCCCAAACGTAATTTAAGAGAAAAGCTGCCACTCCAACATAACGGTAATTTTGTTTACTACAAACCAAAATAAACATAATTTTACAAAATCAAACTTACCTTCCATCAAAAAGTATTACCGGAACACCAAACTAATGTCAAACTGTGATATTTCAAAAAGAAGCCACGTTTATTCTAGAGCTGAAGAGCACACGTGCACCTGTCACTTTGTTTTGACTGGAGATAGCAGTATTTCGAAGAATAAAGTGTGTGGAGCAGTTGGCAGCTTTACTGATTATGGTTTTTAATCAGTTTTCGTACGAACTTTACAAACATTTAGTTTTGGTATGATAGAAAAGGAGTCATAGTTGTCAAATAGATAAATATCTCCAAAGTGATGAAAATGGAGTTAGCAGTTTAACGTATTTAGCCGACAAAGTATTTCTTCGGATCAAGGATCCGGGTATAAGAATAATGATTTATCGAAATCCTAGTGATGTCTTGTTTGAACTACTGTAGCATCCTTTATTTCTCATGCCTTGACAAAATAATGAAAAATTATACAGAATAATTGTGTCCGTTTTATATGTGGATTGAGAAAATTTGACCATGTATCACAGAAATACAGGACGCTGAAATGGCTCAAATTTGATAAATTGGTCGAATATCACCATCTAGTATTTATTCACAAAGTAATAACCACTTCAAAGCCCGCCTACTTGAGAGAAAAAATTCTATTTAACTTTGTTGTTCATGATCGGTTGCTTAGAGATAGGTTGAGTATCAGAATTCCGCCTCACTCTACAGTCTTATTCACCTGCAGTTTTTGTTATAATTCGGCAGTTCTATATAATTCGTTGGAATATTCCTTTAAATGTATGAGCTTAGCAAGTTTTCGTAAGCATGTAAGGATCAGGCTGCTTGACTGATACTATCCTTTCCACATTCATCATCCAATCAGACTTTATATTTATTACGTTGAGAAGCTAATATTATTTTTAGGCGCATGATATATATTTATTTATTTATTTAGATTCAATACACTGCCTGAACGGAACACTCCATTGAACAGGCAGGAAGTACAGCATGCTCAGCCGACAGTTAGAAAATACCTTCGAAGGCTGTCTTTACTGTAGTGAAAGATATCAAGTGCACGTGCACTTTCACAAATGCCACACATAACATAGAGTGGTGAAAACAACAATAAGTTTGTTCTAGGAACAGGTAAATAGAATAAACTGTTGCTACCATGACGAGTACGCAAATTAGGTATGCGTAAATAAATTTTCTCTAAGAGTGAAGGACAATCAATGCTGCCATCGAGCAATTTACACAAAAAGGTAGCAGCGAATAAATGTCTGCGCTTCGTTAAATTTGGCAGATTGAATCTGCTTAATAATATGTCATTACGAAAGCCCCTTTCAGGATAAACTCTATCTTCTTTATACCACAAATACTTCACGAAACGTCGCTGAACTCTCTCAAGATTATGGGAATGTACATCGTAAGCCGGGTACCAAATAATAGAACAATATTCGAGAATAGATCTAACAAAAGCATAATATAGTAAGATTGAAGTTTTAGGATTATGAAATTGTCTGCTGTTTCTGATAACAAAACCAAGATTTTTGTACGCTTTTGCTACAATAGTATTTATCTGCTCGATAAATGTCATTCTGGGGTCAAACAAAACACCTAAATCTTTGAACGAAAAAACTCTCAGGAGCGAGCTGTTTCCAATCTCAAAGACAGATTCTATCGGTTCCAACTTGCGTGTTAGCGTCATAGTGCAACATTTATCAACATTCAAATGCATATTATTAACTTCACACCAGTGATGTACAAGGTTCAGATCTGCTTGCAATGCTAAACTATCATCTAAGGTATTAACACATCTAAAAATCTTGAGGTCGTCAGCATACAGCAAATACTCACACCGCAAGTCACTTACTATGTCGTTAATGAATATAAGAAATAACAAAGGGCCAAGGACTGAACCCTGGGGTACGCCTGACGTAGCCAACACCGGATATGATTTGTAACCACGATAATCTACACGTAAATGTCTGTTATTAATGTATGACTGGAAAAAATCAAGAAATCTAGACGTTAAACCAATTTTTGACAACTTCTGTATCAAAATACCGTGATCTAAACGGTCGAAAGCTTTTGAAAAATCGGTATAGACTACATCAACCTGCCCTCCTTTGTCCAAAACCTCCGCAGCGTATTGCTTGAAACATGCTAAATTACTACATGTTGATCTACCTTTATAAAAACCATGTTGACCAGTACAGATGGTACGACTTACATGAGAAAACACGACCTCAAAAAGTACAAACTCAAAAACTTTCGCCAAATTGCTCAAGATAACAATCGCTCTATAGTTCTCAATATGTGACCTATCGCCTTTCTTAAAAACTGGAGTAATTTTCGACATTTTCCATTTGTCAGGAAAGGTTGCAGTTTTTAAAGACAAATTAAAAAGGTATGCTAAGGGCTGAGCAAGTAGCGAAGCACAATCCTTAAGAAAGAAAGACGGTATGGAATCTGGACCTGTGGAGCATTTAGGTTTCAACTTATTCAGAGCATTTCGTACACGCTTCTCATGAACTGTTATAATAGATAGGCAAGAACTATCGTTCACTGAGGCAGAGTCAGATAAATATTCCGAGGAGGAAATATAAGTAGATTGGAAATATGCTGCAAAGGCGTTCACTATTTGCTCAGGATTTTTCAACTCAGTATTTTCAGAAAACATGTTGCTAGTAATATTGGCGAAATTTTTGCGATGATTTACGAAGGACCAAAAGTTATTAGGGTTGTGAGCCAAAGCGCGCTCGGTTCTTTCAACAAAATTTGAATAAGCCATGTCAATATCGATTTTTATTGTTCTTCGTAAACTGCTAAATAATTCATAATGACAAATTACTTGTTCGCTTGTATCGTTTCCAGAGACGATGCTTTTTTCCGATTTTTGAGATAATAGAGCGAGAAAACCATGGAGGATATTTGTTATCTTTCGGCAATGTGTAAGGAACATGTCTATCAAATGCAACATACAATCGTTTATAAAAAAGATCGCAGGCAATATTAATATCCGTAATATGTAACGGGAGAGTTAAATATAAATTCATGATGCTATTATAAAGAGCCGGGATGTTTGCTTTTTTAAAATTATACTGCGGAATACTGTTTGTATGGAAATTTCTCATGCGATATATGTATATATGGGTATGTGTATATATATATATATATATATATATATATGATTTTAATTTATTTAACATCACTGTATTTATTGATTCAGCTGGTTAAGTGTAAGAGTAGCATTGCTAAACTTCGCCAGTTGAGTCCCACTTTCAGTATGTACCATGTACATATTTTTTTGTAATAAAGGCGTATATTATTATTAATATTATTATTATTATTAAATGTTGGCCCGACTTGTATACAAACCTCAACTCGCCTTTCACCATGATACCGACTCTTGAACATAAAGCATCTGCTTCCTCCATGGAATGTGTGGTAAGAATCGCTCCTCTTGAACCCTGTAACAAAGCATTTTGTTACTTCTTTCGGACGCTTGACATCTGAATGAACATTGTTTATCAAATGCTTTTAGTCTCAGCTTTATTACTGGAACCACTATTATGGATACACCCACGTGGCTAAACTTCGCATATTTGTATTTTAAAAATAATGTCCAATTTTTACTATAATGAGAGACAAAAAAAGGTAAACAGTAAAATGATTAAATTTTCAGCTAGATTCGTCAACTGACTGCAGAAGCTGGTTCAATAATGTGTTGAGGATCCATGATTTCTTATACACTCATTGACACGCCTCGGCATCGTGCTGATAAGGTGGTCGATATCCTGTTGGGGTTTTTCATTCCAGGCTACTGAGCCTGCAACCTATGATGACCCAGACATGTTCAATTGGAGATAGGTCAGGCGATCGTGGTGGCCAACGTAAACGGTTCATGCGATGTTGATCCATGAAGGCTAACGATGCTCTTGAAACATGCCGGTTTTGGATGATGTTTAGGTATGGAATAAGATGAGGCTCCACTGCTTCCTGAATATAGCGTCGGGCTGTTATACAGGGTCCGCCAAAGGAACCTGATGAGTTTCAATATGAAACTACAAATGTATCTTTCAAGATATTTATTTTCATATATAAGTAATCGAAAGTGTATTACATGCCATTTTATGTATGGAAAATAACTTCGGTCAAATGATGTCCTTCACTGCGGCCACACTCTTCCAAACGGTTTCGCACATTCCCCATTACGCGCTGTACCATACTCATCGGAATCGCGCTAATTTCATTGCGAATGTTTTCCTTCAATTCTTCAATGGTCCTTGGGCTCGTTAAATATACCTTGCTTTTGAGATAACCCCATAACCAATAGTCATAAGCCGTGAGATCGGGAGACCTTGCCGGCCAAGGAACATCTCCATTCCGCGAAATGACTCTTCCTGGAAACATTTCTCGCAGTCGAACCATTGTTGCTCGTGCTGTAGGCGCTGTGGAGCCATCTTGCTGAAACCATACAGTATTTAAATCTATGTTCCGTCGACGAAGCTCTGGTTCCAAAAATGTGTTTAACATTTCCAGATAACGTTGCGAATTGACCGTGACAGAATTTCCAGCATCGTCCTCAAAAAATAGGGTCCAATTATGCCGAATCGCGACACTCCGCACCAAACAGTAACCTTGCGACTATGAAGGGGTCGCTGGTGAAGTTCTCTCGGGTTTTCTGCATACCAGTAGCGAAAATTCTGCTTATTTACGTAGCCTGATAACTCGAAATGCGCCTCATCAGACATAATTAAGCCACCTAAAGCCTTTTCATCCAAAAGTTCCAGAAGCTGGTTGCTTGCAGTCAAACGGTTCTCAAAGTCTTCAGCTGTCAGTTCTTGAACCATCGCTAATTTGTAAGGGTGATAATGTAAATCCTTATGCAAAATACGCCGCACTGTTGTTTCTGAAAGCCTTAGACTACTTGCTTGTAGCCCAGCTGAACGACGTGGACTTTGCTGCACCGCTGTTCGCACCCTCTCAATATTGGCTGGAGTCCGAACTGTTCGACGCATTCCTGGTGGCTTAGCTTTCATTGCTGATGCAGATCGACGAAAATTTTTGACCCACAACTTAATTGTGTTACGGCATGGAACAGAACCATGACGTCCGACATTGAAATGTGTACGAAATAGACGCTGTGTAATGATCACCGAGTCGTGATTTTTAAAATACGTCTCGACAACAAATGCGCGATGTTCACTTGTCCACAGCTCCATGACTACTGAAATGGCATCTACTACCGATGTCTTGCCCACTGTAACCGATGTTCTACGTCAAAAAACAGCTTCGTACTATCCATTCTGAAAACGTCAGGTTCCTTTGGCGGACCCTGTATAGCCTCTGATGAAAATTAGTGGTGATCTGCAACCATAAGCAATAGCACCCCATACCATAACTCCCACAGTGTGGTGAACGTGACGCTCTCTGTCAAATTCTGGGTCACGTCTTTCACCACGTCTCCTTCTCACTCTTGACCGACCATCGTGCATCCCCAGACAAGCGGGATTCGTCACTAAAGACCACCTGATACCATTCCCGGTCCCATAGAATACTTCTCTATACCAGAGCAAACTGTTCAGCTGTGAGAGGTAGCACCCAAACTCCTAGAAACTTCTCTTATCGATAGACCGGCTTCACGCAACCTCTTAAAGTCTCTTAGCTATCACTAGGAATTTTGAGCAATCACAAAAAGGCTTCTCAGTAACCTACACGAAATTTAACATTTAACTGACACCGTAAATGTACGAAAGCTGAATGCTTCTCTATCACCAAACAATAAAAAAACCTGACCATTATATCACTTGTTGTTCATGGCAAGATAAATCGATATATAAAAAAGTCTTGAATTCTAATAAACTTACGTAGGTGTTTACCTTTTTTTGTCACTCAGTATATTATAATTAATACGTTACACAAGGTTAATCCGGTGGGTTCATAAATAACATTACCTCAAAAACTGATGTTTTGTATCTATGAAAGACTTCCACTATTACAAGAAACACGGAAAATTTAATAAAATGCTGAAAAAAAAAGAAAAATTGTCATACCTGAAAACTGGCTAATATCGTGTCCCATAGGAATCTTTTACTCCTAGGGTCCATTCCAGTACTGGGCTCGTCTAACAATACAACTTTGGGATTCCCTACCATCGCCATAGCGAAGCTAAGTTTCCTTCTTGTTCCTCCAGAACATTGTGATGCTCTTTTATCAGCGTGCTCCTGAAAAAAAAAATACAACTTTCCGTCTTCCAAGAGAAAATTGCATATGGACATTGTAATCTAAATCACCTCTCGTTAGGATTTAGGAATCCTAGGGAGAGCGTGTACAATCTGGTAGTGGTTATTAAAAACCATTTTATTGTTTCCAAAGGTTGATTACTGCAACTATACTTTAAATTTTGGTTGATTTTTAAGCCACTGCACAATAGAAATTCTTGCTTATAACCAGCCCATTATATAGAGGCAAAAATTTAGAAACTTACAAAGCCAAATAACTGTTTTAAGATAGGCAGTTGCAACGCACGCACGCAGAAATACAAGCGCACTTACTGCTGGGGTAAAAAAAATCCGACTACGGTGAGGCATTATGAGATGAGGATCTCTTAATGAAGTTAATACTAATATAAGATAGCTTATATTTGAGAGGAGCATGGCAACGAGTAGTTTCCTCTCTCGGCACACACAAAAACAGAAACTAAGCAGCGGGTTCATAGAGTGTCTCCACCTCCCAAATCACGGACGCAACCCTCTGCTGGAAAATTGATGGCGACAGATTTTTGGGACATCAGGGCATCTTTATTGAATATGTCTATGCGAACACGCAAGTTTACGTAAAGCAATCGATCAGAAAAGACCCGAGAAGTGACATGACAATGCGACAGTAAAAAGGCTGCCCAAATTAGACCAATTGTGCAGGAATGCATCTTCGTTGAGATAGACAATCTATAGTCCAGATCTGACTCCATCTGACTTTTATTTCTTTGGATTACTAAAGAAAAATCTTCTATGACGCAGTTCTAAGTGAGATCATGGCCTAAAAGCTGCCGTTGACGACTTTTTTGAGAGTTAAGAGGAAACATTTCACTGGTCGAGAAATGGCTTATACTGAAAAATGAAATTATCATTAAAATAAAATTATCGTACGTATTTCTTTAGATTCCTTTTCTAGTGTCCTCCGTATTTTATGTCAACAAACCTGTATTTGGAGGCCGCTCAGGTACATGTTGACCAGCTTAGGTATTTGGTCGTAAGGCACACCTCGGATGGAGGCGTAACACTCCAGATGCTCACGCACTGTGATGTTTTTCCACAGCGCGTCATGCTGTGGGCAGTATCCTAGCAGACGGTATGCGGAGTTCATGTTAGAGGTTATATTTTCGCCGCCGATTTGCACCTATAAGAAAATGGAACTAATGAGAAATAATTCCTAATTGTAATAATCGAAGAAAATTTTAACCAATACATAGGACTTCAATTCGATGAAAGCATCTTTGGTATCATTAATTTTCATAATACACTTATAAGAATATCCTAAAAGCATCTTTTAACGTAGATACAGATTAAAAAAGATACCACTGGAAATCGGTTTTACTCCCGGTATTAAATATCTTTTGGAATGCTGTATACTAGTAATTCCCAATGATCAATTCTGTTTAGAAAAAAATTGGAAATGAAGACGCGCAGATATTGTTTAAATTTTTTTGCAACAAAATTTTTTAAATAATGTTTCATTAATAATGTCTTGTAAGTGCTGCAATGATTTAGATTATTACAAATTTTCATACAAAAACGCTAGCTCCATCAAGAAATTTCAGTTGAATTCAACTCGATGACTTTTATCTTAATAAAACAATGGACTAAATCAAACAACTCACCCTGCCTCTTGTAGGAGCTTCCTCAGCGGTAATGATCTTCATGGTGGTGGTTTTACCAGCACCATTGTGACCCAGAAGTCCGAATACTTCACCAGCATCGACGGCTAATGATAAGGATTTGATAGCTACCTTCAATTCTACTTCTGTTTCGGATTTACAACATATATCACAGACTTTCGTTTCTTCTCTTAGATATTCTTTATGCAATTTCTAGAAGATACCGAGGTTATTATTACACTATACACTGGCAGCTAATATATGAAAAGTATTGGAAACATGCACATTCAACATGAAGGTGGTTTAATAGTCGTGTATTCATAAACCAAGCAAAGTAGCCAAAAATCGACCCTGAATCAGAAAAAAACTGTAATAACTGGTTCTACAACGGAATCATACTCTTGAGGGTAAATGAAAAGGTCGCTGAGAACATTTTGCTGGATACCAAAACAAAAGTTATTCTCAGAATAGTCTAATTATAATAGCACATTTCCCCGAAATATTTGCAAAGTCTGGTTGTATTGATGCAATTTGTTCAAGGGGGTATATAAATCATGGACGCATAAAATGGGTACACCAATTTTTGTGGGAAAACTTTTTATTCGACAACAAAGAATGCGAAAACGTGTTTTTTGGGATTCAATTGCAGGAACGAATAAACTCTTGAAATACATTTTTTAGGTATTTATGAGACCTACAGATTGAGACTACATTTGGGGACCTCGGTTGGCCGCGTGGGTCAGAGTGTCGTGCTACTGATCAGCCGGCCGGCCGGGCCGCGAGTTCGAATCTCGCCTTCGCCATAGATGTTGTGTGTTTGTTTTAGGCAGCAGCGGTGGCCGCAGTAGTAGACATTTCGGTCTCCTGATCAGTCGCCGTGCGCTGTGCGGGTTCGAGTCCCGTCCCAGGAGAAATTTTTCTCTTGGCTATGGATGTTGTGATTGTCCGTAGGTGGTAGATGGTCTCTGACTGTCGAACGCGGAGGTACCACCCGGCGGTTCTCGTAGGCGGAGCCAGAATGTGTGCATGTTGCATGCACACGTGTTCCCTCGCCAGAGTCCGTGTGGCATCCCCCCTTTTCCCATGTATCCCCCTATAGCCCCACGGTACCCAATGGGTGCATAGGCCTTAGGCCTTCGTGGTAGTCGGAGTATAAAAAAAAACATGTAAAAGATCGGACTAACAGTAAAAAAGTTATGGCTAAAAACTGAGGCAAAATGCAGGTTTTGACAATTGAAGGGTCGGCCGGAACAACGTTGTATATGTATCATAAAAGCTCAGTGGCCGAAATTAAGAAAAACAAATTTGAACCATTTTTTCAAATGACTGCGTCTATAGTTGGCCAGCACAATAAAGGAACAATAGTTATACAAGGTTATTGTAATTTAAAAATATGACACCTATTTTGCAGCAATGGGAACCATTTTTGTGGAAAACGCATGTAACAAGGTTGTATGATCACGTTACTTACAACGTGGTTACAGGGAGGCTTTAAATGACTATAAGCAAAACAAGTATTTTCAGCAGTTCTATTTATTAGGGGAACCAAAGAACACCGTAACATATTTTAATAACAAAAAAATACGTTCTAAGTTCATCAACGTGTTTCGAAACCAAAACTGAAATTTAAATAAGTATTACTGGGTTGCAGTTAATTTCTCATAAAATGTTACATACTTAAGCGGAATATAATCGTTCATATCCTCAAGGATTTTTAAATTTTTTATCTTTGATTGGAAGAAGGTTGTGATACATTATAGGTAATTTTTCAGATGATATGATATCAGTGGCAAAAGTCATCGTTTCTTTTCTTTTACGATTGTTTATGGGAAGTAAATTCCAGGGCTGCATAATATTATGAGATTTTCTCATTCTCAAAGTAGCTGGAGAATCAGCGGTAAGTTGCAGCCACAATCCTTGTGTAATTTTACATTAGGGGTATTTCCATATACAATATTCCATAGCTGTTAAATTCTCAAAGAAGGCTTGGTGCATCCAGACAACTTTAAAAGGATTTTTAACTTTGGCTTTAGCAATGACATCGACCCACTGGAATGGTTCATAAACCATAGATATTGTTATTTGTTTACGTACATACAACGTTGTTACGCGGAGGACTGAAATGGAGCGATTTACAAATTCACGTCACAGTGATTGATGCGAGTAAACAGGTGGGTCTATGTTGTCAACGGGTCCCAATAGGCACATACTACGTTGTTTTACGTAAATCTCATTTTATAGAAAAATGTTATATACAACGTTGTTCCGGCCGACCCTTCGATTGTTGCTAATGTGACGATAATTTCACGCAGCTACTTGAAATTCTACAAATTCGTAGACTTCATATTTCTTCAAGTTGTTTTTGAGAATCTCTAATTGTTTATCCCAAAACACCTGTCTTCCGGCCATTAATACTACTTTACTGAGCAATATACAGGGTACAGCCCAAAGGGCATTTTATAGCGAAATACACGAGTTTACCTTGCCGACATGAATCACAAACCATTCCGAAAGATAATTGTTATTTTTATGTTCTAACAATTTGAAAAATTTAGTATTTGTGAGTAATTGAACAGATTCGTTACGATATTCTAAAAACATTATTATACTCACTTTAAAACAAAGCAGATGTGACTCTCACCTTTTGTTGCCAAGAAAATTTTTTCATATTTTTGTGTATACATATTTAGAGCTGAAAATTTTATACGGTCACAGATGAGCCTTAAAGTTTATAAAACAAATATTTCATACTGAAATGCGCTGAGCTGTTTATAAACTTAGCACGCAAACTAAAGGCACAATTACGTTTCAAACTGTCTTAGACTAGTTAGTATGTAGCATGTGCTAAATTCTAACAATATTGATGACTGTATGAGTTTGTCAAAGAAGTAGGTCACGTAATCCAGTATCTTTACGGAGAAATATAATTTCCTGGACATTTTTTCTAAATGTATTAATATAGTATACGTCTGTTTTCGAAATCTCACACAATTAAAACGACTTCGAGGTCAAAATGTTGGAAGATAAACTCGAGAGAACGAAAAAATAGTAGACAATAATATCGGCCAATTGCAGCGAAAAATTAGGCAAAATGCTCGGTATCAGTCCCTGATACATTATATAAAGTTTTAGCATTGTATCTTGTATAGTTTTCCAGAATATTCTAATTGTTTATAACAGATTTGATATGCCTCCAACCTTTGATTGACATTTGTCAGTGTGAAGTATAGTAGTATAAAGATCCCATAAACCAAGAAGCGTTGTAGTGTAATAGGCAGATATAACGATTGCAGAACACAAATACCCCCTTGAACAACTTGTATTAATAAAAGCAGACTCTACAATTATTTCACAAATCATGGGTATTTTCGTCTAATATGACTAGATAAAACCTCTAGGTTATCGCATAGTTATTTAACTTTAGAGCTCTACGCGGAATATTACAGGATCTAGTTTCGCAAAAAGGAATGTCTGCCTAAAATTCAAATTTTGTCTAACCTCAAATTCCCTATTTTAATTGTAGTTATTAAAGGAACTCTCTCTTGCACACTGTCTCATTGGAGAATCATTGATAGCCATGCCAGAACATGTATTGACAAATATCAAAGAAAATCGAGTTCATCTTTTCCAAAGAATGCAACACTTCTGAAAGGGATGGGCGAGCAGCGGGAGTGCTTATCATAATATCGCTGTGGCCAGTGATTCTACCTGGAGGCGACAATAGAAAAATGCTGGACTGGCCGGCTGAAGATGTTTTTGCCGGATATGTTCCGAAAACAGTGGGCAAAGCACACGATTTAATAGAGCATCTTGTACTTGTGCTGCCACTATGCGGATTTGGTTTTCAAGATGTGTTAATAATTGGCCTCAATGGTAACCATAATAGAGACAGAAAGTTTCCCACCTAAATGTTATTTGATGGTATGCATATACGCTATAAAAAAGGTGTCCCGATTTTGACTCAAGAACATGCAGGGCCTGGAATCAAAGTACAATTTTACGATTTTACCGAATTTAAAAGTGCCAAGGGAAATGTTATCTTTTCATGTGCTGGATTTTTAAATTGTTTGCCCTGTAATTAAATTATTCAATAAATCGTTATTGTTTACTAATGGTACACTTGAGTATGACTTGAGGGATCCTCACCACTCAACTTACACTCAACTGTGAAATGGCGACTATAAATATGGGTCACAATACTCTAAATACTCACATCTACCATAACAACAGGAGGATTGACTGAATGACAATTCATGAGACTTTTTACTTTCAGCCTCTCTGCCTTCACGTCTTGATCTTCGTTGTCTCCTATGTCACTAACCTCGTTAAAATCTTCTTCGTTAATTTTATATTTATCTTCCGTATTTACCTGCAAATTCAAAAAAATGCTCCTATTAGTTTTATTAAGCGGTTATTATCACTTAGATATATTTGGTCTCATAATATAATCACAATTGTTCAAGATTTTTAAAAAATGAGTTTTAGTGCCAGACTGCATCGTGGATTTTGTAAGTAGGTATACATTATTACCAGAAATTAGTTACAGGAAAAACCAGGACGCGTGTGCTGATTTCTGACAGTTAATCCATATGCTTCGAGAAACATTTTGAGGTTGACAACAGGAAAGCATGCAGTAGAAATCTACAGAGAGTCCTGGCACTGAAGGTAATTCAATAAACAATTTCAATCAACACAATTTCACTTCCCAAAGTTCAATTCATATTTCAGAAGAGCACTAATGTTAAATAGATCATGCATAGTAGCTTTGAAGGATTAAAAAATCAGACTACTCACACTGGTTAACTTGAGTGCATCCCTGACTCTCCCACCGTTTTTCTTGATGTCTACAACACGTATGATGAAAAACCAGAAAGGGATGTGCAGTAATATTCCTACGAACATAACTACAACTTCTGTAGTCATATAGTCAACCAACGTTGGTTCTACACAAGCATAACTGTTGTTGCACATTATATACACCCTTTGTATATAATAAATCATGGCATAAGATAAATACATAGTATTTGTCATGGAGAAAAATATGTGTAAGATGAGAGCAACTTTTTCACCTAAAAAAAAACAGATGCTTCAGATACGGTCGAGTGAGATCTGACAATAAGAGTACAACATCCAAAAGTTTGAAATAACATCCGAGGCCTTCGACAACCCTTATCTGAGAACTCTCAAGATGAAATATCCCATTATGTCACGTTTAAGAGCATCGATACATAATAATGATATTTCTGGTAAAGTAATAGCTATGATACTCAGACTTGTATGAAAGGGGCGCTATACTAAGCACAATCATTTCGAGACATGTTTGACATTTAACGTAATGGAGCATTTCAATGTAAAGGTTGTCAGCAATGGTGGACTAGTTCAATCTTGCCGGACGCAAAGCAGTCGGGCGATTGTTGACATTGATTATTTTCGGAGTTTCCAAAAAAGATCCCATAGAAGACTTATGGCTTTCGGATAATTAAAAAAATGGTATGTTGTAGAACAAAAGTGACTATGTGCAAAGAGTGTCTACAAGTAGTTTACGAGAAATAGGACCTAAAATTTGGGCTGTCTGTACACTATTACAGGGTATTGTGAGCACAATATGACTGTAATAACTGATATGTACGGTCTTATCGTCATCTGTATTGGTCAGATTGGACTAAGTCTATTATGTAAAAAATGATCCGAAAACAACATTACTTACAGCTAACCTATTTTTAAGTTATATGACTTCTTACCTATCCTCATCATGTCAAGAAACATCACAATGAAAAACGGTATACACCCAACAAAGGTGGCGATGTTTGGTAAAATGGACTGTGCCGAATCAGTTTTATCGAACATATAGCTAAAGCAGGTGCTGAAGAGTATCGAAGAGGGGCAGTAGAAAAAGACCAAGATGCCTAATGTGGTCAACGCCGCCCATCCACTAAGCGATGGAATTTTGAACAGCAGGATGATGATGATAAGGACGGTACAAATCAGTACCATGATCGTCATCAACACGAAAAGGTACGTCGTGAAGTACATCCCGAAAGACAGACCGTTCACGCGCAACTGATTTTTGCTCGAATCTGAAAAGAAAGAATATACTACTTAGAGATAAAAAGATACAAACAGAAAACAACAATATTGTATTATCATCAAGTTTGAGAAAAAACCTGGCAAAATGGAGAAAAAATGCAACTGACACTTTAGCCATAATATGTTCGTCATAACTTACAGATGTTTACATTTGAAAAGTGTTTGTATAAAGGAAAGCTTTTACGCCCCAAATCCTTTACCAGGTTGCCAATTATATCCTCCTCCATACAGAAATCCGATACTAGCGCCCTTGCGGCCATCGCACAGTGACAATAGTTGAATTATCTAATGTGTATAAAAACAAGTATACAGAGAAATCCAAATATCACTGAGGAGGTAATGTGTACGAGAAGCGCGATAAGCTGGCAATACGTATGTTACAAAGAGTGCGCCGATGGCCGTGGCCTCGTCACTCGGGTTGCTATGCAACGCGGTGCTTCTATCTCTTTCTAACATACGTACTGCCTGCTTCTCGAACACATCACGCGACAGTGGCATATGGATTTCTCTGTATAAAATATGACAATAAAAACGTAAAGACATAGGCTTTCATGTTCGAAAAGCTTACCTCTCTGTCATACACCATATCAATAGCTAAACTGACAGGTGTTAGAGCGAATATCATTCCCAGAGTGAAAGTTGCAGTCACGGTTCCAAAGTTGATACCTTCTGGTTGAGATGTTTGTTGAAATGGTTGAGCCCGCAACTCTATCGGTTGCCAGCTTTTTATTTCAATCTGGTTTGTACTGAGAAGCCTATAAATGGGGAATGTTTTTGATAGATATACGAAGATGAGCAAGAGAAATATTACTTGCAAGGCAGATAAATAAAATATATTGTCATTGTACTGAAGAAGAGCATCCTAGTGATTGCAAAGTTTACAATCTCTAGGAATATTTAAAATGACAAGATTTGAATATGACGACTAATTCAAACGACAATTGAATCCAGCGAAAGCGTTTGGTAGAAGAATTCTGACAACCTTTCTGCTACAGAAGTCGTGAAGATTTTAAATTAATGTATGAAAATTCTATATATCTTAGTAATGTTAAGAGATTAGGCTCAGTTCCATAACACTGCCCCAAAAAATGTATTCTGCTTGAGAGTCAAGTGTATTTATGAGGGCAAACTAAGTTCCCTGTTAACAGGTGTTTTTGGTATTCATTGGTAGAGGTGAGTCAAAGTTATGCCATAAAGTCTACCTTCAAACTCGAACTATACACATTCAGGGCAGGCTGCAAAAAGATTTAATGTCTCTTCTATTAACAAATTACGATATACTCTGTCTGAACCGCGATTATATGTATTAGGATAGTTGAAATGTGATGGGAGCTGGGTCTATTATGAAATAAATAATAAATAAAAAAACTGTGAGAGTTCATTTTCAACATTGACTACTTTCTGGAAATGGAGGACAGTAAGAGTTGCCTGAGTATTACTTCTATTGATACATTTTTTAGCACAATAACTTACCTATAAAGGGCGTTGTTCACCAAGTTGATAACAATTGGCAAACTATGCTGTTGTGTGTCATTATACAACACAGTTATACTATAATCTGGAAATTCAAAGTTATTCACATTTAGTGCCGCTGTATGGGGCGCTATCTGTAATAACCTTGAAAAATTCCCATCATAGTCGTCGATGAAAGTCACCCCAAGATCTAAAAGCTGCTCATACAATTCATCTAGATTGTTATTCGATGCATTATGGATAGCCAGTGAAACATTTCCGTACAAGGTGACGTTGAGAGGTAGGGACTGCGTTTTGGTCTCGATGTTCTGTATACTGTTTATGTATAGTCCTAATGCGGCTAGACCTAATGGCACCAATATCATGAAGTATAACTTCTGCCAGTCACGAAATAGACGAAGGATCCTGAGCCTAAGTAGCGCTATGATTGTTTGGAAGCAGTTTGGCTTGCATTCGATTTTCTCTAAACCGATGCCTGTTACAGGGGATTTTGTTTCGCTTATTATTTCCAGGCCATCAATCTTCGTCGTCGGCGCGTCACCTGAAAAATGGGAAACAATATCACTATATGTGTCAAATTTTATGCTGCCTTCAATTCGTTGCGTCTTGTACTTTTGGGGAAGAATTATAGTAATAAGTTAATGATTTTATTAACTACAAGATATACCTTGTAAAATAAAAATACATATACTAAAAAAAACAGCTTGTTGCTAATATGCAGAGTTTCGGACAGACATATAGGATGGCTCCTTCTAATCTATTCGAATTCGTTGATGCAGAGTATATGTTTAGACGTAAGTGCCTTACACACTATCACTGTATAAAAAACGCATGTATGGGAGGCTGATGCTTTGATTACAACATTGCTCAACTGCGCAGTTCAAAGTAGAACAACCTGACTAAACAGTGACACATCCTTAACAGACCATGACTAGGATTGAGATTTTTTGAAGTGTCACCTACCTTTGGCATCTTGCATGATGTCGTTATTCTGCTCATTTTGTAATGATTGATAACTGGTGCTTTTGCTTTGCAAGCTAAGACTCCGACTCAAGGCTCTGTTTCTCACTATCTTTTTCGACAGATTATCTACGGTGCAGTCAGTTTCTTCATCTTCCCGTTCCAAATGCAAAAACACTTCTTCCAAAGTCGTCATAGAAACTCCATAACTAGAGATCCCTGAAAAATAGCCGTTATAGTCAATACTGCAAAATTTTACTCGCGGTGTTCCTCGAAGACACTTACCTAATTTACTATTTTTATTATTGATCTCCTGCTCTATCGCAGAAAACAAATTGGGAAAATTCTCGACAGCATTATGAGGTAAAATAAAACTCAATTCCCTTCCGTGCCTCCTTGCCTTTTCAGCTTTAGGAACATGTGTCGTGACTAATCTAGTGATAGCCTGCTCTTTGGAAACTCCTTTCAACACCAAGGTTAGATGGTAACCAATTCCGAATTTGTTCTTAAGGAACAAAGAGCTACCACAGCACCTTATGCTGCCTTTAGATACCACTGCTTTTCTATCCGCTAAAAAATCAATTTTCTATTAGTAGGACAGTAGTTTTCCAAACTGTAATGGTGATAGTATGCTGCTATATAATTTAAATATTTTAACTTCAAAGCTGAACACCGAAGTCAACTGCACATGCAAGCAGACATAACAGGATCATTACGGAAATATTATAATTCGCTAACCCAAAATATCAGCTTCATCCATAAAATGGGTCGTCAACAAGATAACTCTTCCATGCCTCCTGTTTTGAAGCACTGACCACATATGCCTTCTCGAGTACGGATCAACCCCAGCTGTCGGTTCGTCTAATATGATAATCTAAAAGTGCAACAAAACCTCCTCAATGACTGCGTAAGTCAATATTTGCGACTTCAGAAAATCCATGGGACCAAGTCCAATAAGAGTCACATTAATAAATGTTTCTTGAGGATCTAGTGGCTTTTGAGAACTGATCACTCCTTGTATTTTTATTTCATTAATCTCAAACAGATTTTTACTGGCGGTATCTACATATTAAGCATTTTGATGATAAATTTTGGTTTGGTCTTTGTAGTGCTGAATGTTACTCAGTAGTTGTAATGATAAGTGTTTACTTGTTCGAATTTACAGTGAATAGCGATTTTATAACACAGCGTGCTAGGCTAAATATTTGGAACCGGTAACGAAATACCGACTTTGAGTTTATTTATACTGTTTGAAAATTGTAAATTAAACGAGGGTTCATAATATTAAGAAACAATGAATTAAAAAAAAAATAACAAGTGAAGATGCCAGTACAGATACTGGACCAGTTGAAAGAATATGAAAAAATGATGGGACAACCTTAAAAAAAGTCGTAGATCAAATAAAAGAAAGTGATATCCCAACTAGCAAGGTAGTGCTGTAAGCTTTTGGTAAAAGAACCGTTCAGCTATAAAAGCTCTCTATTGTTGTTGCCTGAACACCAATATGCTGGCTTAATGTTGTGTGGAATGCAAATTTGCTTTCTGCAACATATTTGCTCTAAAATGAGCTGTTTAAAATATTCTTATAGCATAGTTACACAACACCTTATAGGACAAATTTTTAACTGTTGCATAAACCTTTATACAACTATTTTGTACGGCATATTTGCAGGTTAGTCAAAATGGTTGTGTTGTGGCATCCATGGTAACGTTTATAAAACAAACCCGAGCCTTGTTGTTTTGCTGTGCAAATTTACTACTTTAGCCAACAAATTGCTCCCAACGGAAGCACTTATACAACTGTTAATAACTGTTTTAAAGGCTGTACATATGCTAAATATGTTGGTATACAACTTCACCATAACCTAACTTTCTGCTGTCATATTTTTGTTAAAATGCCATAACCAATGTTTTAAGACAAACAACGCATGCATATTGGTTAAAAAGGTTTTATCAACTGTTCAAACAGAAGATACAGATCTGGTACAAATTCTAGGTAAATCATTCGACTCTGTCGCTATTTCATTTCTGACATTTGTCAAATTGTTGTATAAGACCTGCAGGCAACACCAAAGTATTCTAATAAACTAAAGACAACATGGACGATGCCATGATAATACACAATCACCCGCCATATTGGGAAAACATTTATTCCTCTATTTGATATTAAATAATTATGTTTCAGTTCGAAATTACAGAAATAAAGTGATAAACATTAGTGTAATTGTGTCTAAATATAGGATTTGTGGAAGATTTAACGCAGATAAGATCAGTTTTCCATCTTAAAAATCTAGACATACTTTTGATCATTATCAAAATATGAATCAAATACGAAGCCCGTAGAAATTGCGTAACTATTTTGCCCGATAATCACAATAAAATTTGCTGCGCAAGTAATTCAATAGCCCTATATCACAGTGTAGAAGTTTATCATATACCTGTGTATGAAATTCACAATGGCCGATATGTAAGTAAACAAGATGACTGTATTGTGTTAGTTATATATTCTTCAGTTCGTCTATACAATAGATAAGAAATAGTTTAGCTGCAATAAAGTAGAATCACGTAACAGAATAGTTGTATAGTTGACAAAAACTGAATCTTGCACTGACGCAAATGTCCTATAGCGGCTGCAAGAGGCTTACACTTTTGTTGTATAACTGTTACCTGCAGCCCTTATACAACCTCTTAAATGACTGAAGTGTCCTATTAGGTGTGCCCATTTCGCTTGTATAGCTGTTCTAAGAGGGTTTTGCCAATGTTCTTACAGTATACAATGCTGTGTAAGGAATACTGTATAATCATTCTTGCAACTCTAATAGGAGTGATAATTGTTATTTGGGATGGGGGTCCTTTCTAATCAGCAGTAAATCAGTAAATCGAGCATTTCCATTGCACAATTCACAGACAAAGAACGCGTTTGTGGGGCGAATATGACATCTTACATCGAAATCGCAATAATAGAATCACACAATAAGTTTGGTGTTGTCTTGCAAATGTTTTATAATACAGTTTATTATCCTATACATGTCTTATTATCCTACTTTTCTTTCAAAAGGTCGTTATCGGGATAGATAATACCGCACAGCTTTCATAAATAATGACAAGTTCACCATCCCTTACAGTGATCAGACCTGGTATATTGATTTGAATTTGAGGATTTATTTTCCCTTAACCGATTTATGACTCTATCCGGAATGTAGAAGATTGCCAATGGCAGTAATAGAGTAAATTCATAAAATATGAATTTTCATGATCAAGCTTACCTGCAACATTTTGTCTATCTTGCGCAGAAACTATTTAGGATATTTGATTAGTAGGCATACTAGAACGCCATAATATCTGGAAGTATTTCCTAACTATGTACAGTTAAGATGCCCATAATTTTTTTTGAGAAATAAAATAAAAAAAATAGTAGTCTCAAGAGATTTTATACACATTCTTAAAAAATGGGGTCAACAATCGGATAAGGGCATATATAGTTTTTCTAATTGAATCATCCCGTTCATCCGATTCAAGATTTTTAGTAAGTCTATTTCATAGTGTATAATAACAGGAAATTTTCCTTCTCGTTTTGGTGAAGTTCACTGTACCTAGTTTTATGAAAAACCGTAGAATAATTTACAGATTGTGAGACATATATTCACAAAACATCATTGCTATTTTGCATTGCGAAGGCTATGTAAGAACATTAACATTTTTTGGTCTTAACCAGTCCTTTACGAATTTGAAAATCTGTGTGTCTGGCATTCGAGGATATTCATGGGACAAACGCTTAATGTAGCGATCCAAAACATAATCGGTTTTTTTTCGGTCTTCCGTACCTGGGCCGCGTTGCTGTTGATCCGTATTCTTGATATTTACTTATAATTTTCGAAATAGCCCCTTTGTTCATTTTTAATCTTTGGGAAATGTCAACATTTCTGACACCACTTCTACATAATTAAATTACCTTATCCTTTAAATCTTTTGAAAATTCTTTTACTTTTGCCATTCCCACTGATGTTAATATTTACCACACGCAATAGTAGAGTATCGCAGAATGAATAAATACGGCAAAACTGAAATGTTTCTCTACTTTTGTCGTTACAAAAACTGTGGTATTTAAAAAAACGCGTGTTTTTATTTTCAGAGAATTTGAATATTGATAAGATAAACCTTGTATTAGTACGGGAGACAAAGGTAGACTTTAAAATTTATATTATCTGTTCCATCACAATTTTAATTTAGGTATATGAAATAGTTCATAAAAATGTTAATATTTGTTTCCAAACTTTTGTCAGCTACTGTATGTCCTGATAACATTGTGAATTGAAAAATGAGTACTTACCTTAGGATCACCTATCACAGCTATACCTACTGAAAGCTTTCTCTTCTGACCTCCGCTCAAATGCTTGGCCGATGAGTTTGCTTTGTCGGTCAAGTCGATGTCTCTGAGGGTTCTCATCACTTCAGACTCCACCAAACTTGGGTGGATACCCTAGAACGATTATAAACTTAGAGCATATAAAATACAAAATTTTGATTGAATTTACTTTCACAACTGCAAAAAATTCTAAATGTTCCTTTGGTGTCAGGTTGTCAAACAGGATGTCATGTTGTGGACATACTCCTGTCATTCGGCGTATTTGATCCATATCATTGGGGTCCCTGGAAAATGTTAATAATCTGTAAATTTTATCCACACATGATGAAAATTTAATGTATTAATGCCATTTCTAGATACGTAAGTAAGCCTCCAAAGTTGCATCCTCGCAACAAGCAAGAGTGAGCTACTTCCATGGGTGTTTGGATGTGACAGTAAATAACAGCTAACTATAATCAAAACAAACTATAACGAATCCAGGGGCAGACTATTATGACATAAAATCACGATATTTTGTGTGGTAGCTAAGATATACAATAAGGACGCACTAGGCGATACGCCTGCAATAAATGATAATTAATTTGAGGTCAAATAAGCATAGACAAAATTAAAATGTTGCTTCTAAATTTGAAATGTAACTGTTTCTGTCAAATTAGAAGCAAAACGAGTTGAATAATTTAAGCATAATTATTTTATTATTCAGCGGTGTATGAGTTATAAAGAATAGATCACCTGACATCATATCCAAAAATATAAGCTGTTCCAGATGTAGGAGCAGTCAAACCAGTCAAAATGTTGAATAAAGTTGTCTTTCCAGCTCCATTATGCCCCAAAATCGCGGTTATATGTCCTTCGTATATGGTTAGGTTTATTCCATTTATTGCTCTTATCTCTGGCTTTCTACAACTCTGTAATTATAGAGGTAACAAGCTGCATTCAAAGCATAATGTTTGAAAATTGCTTACATGGAAACTTTTGTAAAGATCCACAATTTTTATCGCCTCACGTCCACGCATTTCTCTTGAAACTGGCTCAACATCTATAGTGGAATCAGTGTTGTTCAAAGAGTGAACGGACCCATCCCCATTTGCTGACAAGGGTATCTAAAATGAAAGTCATTGTCCAGTCCATGTATAAAAAGCATATTTATAGTACAAATATATATATGCGCAGATTCATATTATGGATTGTTAAACCAGAGTATTAAACAACTGCTAACAGAGTGACTGATTGCATTCAAAATATCTTTTCCTGGTGCTTATTTATACATACCCTTTGCATGCGTTTCTTGGCACACCAATATGAAGGCTTAAAGCAAAATAGTGGATGACGTTTCACACCATGTTCACCTAGAACGGAGATAACCTTGTTAATATTATTTTTATACAACTTCGGCTTTCATATATAACTTACTTGGCACCACACTATCCAAATAATAGGCAAGCAAACCATACAACACTATATCTAGGGCCATCAAGATTAAGCTACCACCAAAAGGCATTGCACCCTCCCACAGGTTATCAAAGTTCACTCCTCTACCGGACAAATCCATCACCAAAGCCTAAAAACATTATGCTGTCAACAATATAAAAACGGTTAGTACCAAACTCCTAACAGACTTATTAACCAAAGGAGAATACACTATATACGGTCAAATCTAGGAGTTATTGTGTGGAATGGTAAAGTGACTGACATTTTTTATTGAAGTCTGATATTCTGTTTGGCTTTAACTTTCACATAATAACTGACGTTTTCGTCAAAGTTCGATACGTTAAATAAAGGTCCGTCGTATTTTGCTTACGCAATTTTATCTATCATGTCTTCTCTGACTAATACATAACCCGATAGTCATAAAGTGGTTTTTATAGCCTTTTGTTTTTACTTTTTAGTTAACTATTGAACTTTGGTCTAGAAGACAGGATCAGGATGGTGAAAGTAGTATTCATAACTCTATGCCCTGCTTTAAGTGTCATCTAAAGAAAGCGATCTATACTTACTCTATTCAGTAGTACTAAGAACAAACATCAAAACAGAAATGTCATGATTTTGTAGCAGTTTAGGATGTGTAATAGAGAGATTAATGAGGTTCCACTTGATAAAATAGTTACTTGTGAATTAAGAGCAGTACAGTGGCACCTTGCTGCTAGAGGAAGAGCAGAGCTCGAACTTTATATATTTTTTCTATAACCGCAGCAAACCGTCATTATCATGTAGTATTAATAGCAGTATTATGTTGTCTAGCTAAATTATTGGAGAGATCAAAATTTCACTCACGTTATCCATGGCAAGAGCAAATCCACACGAACTAAGCAGTGATATAATCCACAATACCACAGAACTGGACTCTTTGAAGAACACTTGTATAAAGTAGAAAAGGCTCATTATTATCACTATGAAGTTTCCTAGAATTCCAGCTGTCTAAAAAGAAAATAGTATTATTATTTTTATGGCCGAAGCGTGAGAAAACTTTTGGACTTACCCTCGACTTATCGAAGAAGGGCGTGATCATAAATCCGAACATTATAATTGAGAACGAGTACAGTAGCACCAACATGAATATTAAGAAGAAATTAGTATTCTGGAACACTTTTAGTGTGAATAACAATACGCAGCAAACTATCGTCAAAAATAAGACGAATATGCCATATATGATGAACCAAGACAGCCTAAAAATAAAAAAAAAATAATGTCAGTGCTCCTATAAATTACAAATTACGATTCAACAGCAGTTCAAAAGGATTGTATATACCTTGTGGGTTGAACTCATGCTGGATTATAATATACGAGGGTTATCCATTAGGTACCATCCGTTTTGAAATATAATTTAGGGTGGTATGTTCGCCATTTATATTTTCTTGCAAAATAAAAATCAAGAATAAGTTATAAGCATAACTTATAAGATAAAAACCAAATACCTCCGTGCTGTCAGCTATTTTGTAGCATGATGAATTACAAAGTATAGAATGGGACTTTTTAGAGTTCATATCGCTCAGAGATATCAACACTTACTTAAAAAATGAAAATTTATTTTTGCAGATAGAGAAATGCAATAAATCGTCTGTATTGATATTGTTTTAACAAAATTAGTATTACAATATTACGGCACTGGCATCGCGATGAGATTCCTTGACGTGGTTATACCAGCCCCTTCCCACTTCAGTTGGCCCACTTCAAGATTTGTACCAAAATATGCCTTTATAAACTAAATATGACGAAACAATTTACTTCTAAAACAATTTATTTTCTCAAAAACATTTTAGATACACTCTAGTCGTAAAAAATACATATTTGAAATCACTTAGACCTATAACTAATAGAACATCAGAACAAATAAACAATGTGCAAATAAATGCGCGAAGTTAACAAAGCAACAATTGAAAGATTACCATTGGGTAACATCACCTTTATTTTTTATTACGGCTGAAATTATTTGGGGCATAGTGTTAACCAAGTTTTGGCAAAAATTTGGTGTAAAACAATCCCATATTTCTTGAAGCTTTTGTCTCAGTTCGGTGATTGTACGAACAGGATTTTGTCGTAGAACCTTTTTCATCTCGTGCCACAAAGTTTCAATAGGTGACAGATCTGGACTGCTAGAAACCCATTTCAAAAGTGGTACATTATTTTCTTCCATCCATTTTATAGCCTTTTTTGAGGTATGGCACGATCCACCATCTTGCTGAAACACAAAATCTTGGCCGGATGTCAAACATTCTTCCATCACTGGTAAAAGCGATTCTTATAAAATATTTGTTTGTTTCCATCAATAAAATGAAGTTTCCATACTCCTTTTGATGACATACTGCCCCAGACCATAATGGATGCTGGAAATTTCACTTTTCTCTTCAGACAGTCAACATGGAATGCTTCATTTTTTTGCGTATAACTCTACTGCCTCTCTATGAGTTGTGGACCTCGAAATTCTCCTTCCAGCAGCGTCACTCCACAGAGCACTTAATTGTAAATAATTGTGATATTACTTTTTCCACATATCGTGGTTTAATATTAACTGAACTAGTTACGTTATATATTCTAACAACATTTCTCACACTGTACCGCGATAAGTCTAATAAAGTTGCAATTTCTGAGTTTGATTTCCCAGAATTAAAAAATTTAATTATCAGTAACCGAATTTTCTCACTAATAACCTTTCCTCTACCCATTTTGAAAACCTCAACTACCCAAAACTATTTTAAACGTATTCTTACAGATGTGATTGATAAAAACAATTGTCATGGCTTTTATTTTTCACAGCCACCTATGCGTTATAGACTTATTTTGCATTGAAATGAAAATAGGTTGATATGCTGTAATTGCAACATGTGTTATTTTTATGCTGCAAATTTGATTAGGGAGTGATAAAGTTGGTGTTTTGTACTATATATTATCAAAATATTCATTGTAAATATTTTAAACCTATAACACTCTGCTACATTTTTATTATTTGTGTTTGATAAGAAAAAACTAAGATTTCAATAGTTGGGCCAAGTGGGAAGGGGCTCGTATATGACCGGCCGGCTATTGACCAACCTGACCAACCACATACCAATATTCCTAAAACATCAATGTTTAACCATTGCTGGTCATATTTGCATTCATTATTGTACTTTTCCACACAATGTTGCGTGCGTAGTCATCATTTTTAAAATACCGTGGAAAAGTGGAAGTATTTAAATATTACCACACTACTTCTCATGCTACACCCACTACTTCCCATGCAATGCACAAATGGTGGTTACTTTATCGGTAACCCTCGTACGATGAACATATCAAATGAATAACCCTAAAGGTGTGGTAAACATTTTGAAGTGCAAAACCTGATTATGTGATTGGACAATACTTCTGCATTAATAGTTACAGTATTAAGTACAAAGCGTATTATAAAAGTTTTCCAATACAGCTTTATTTATTGATTTCATTCAAAGTAATTTCCACTACATTCAATACACTCTTTCATCCGCCAAAACCAGTCCTTGAACCTCTGCCAAGTTTCACGCGGGAGTGCCGGACATTCGTTGTCTCAAGCCTCAGAAGGTCCTCATCGCTAGAAAACCTTTTTCCTTTTAGCTTCATTTTCACATGCGAAAACAGTGCAGACTCGCAAGGAGCAACGTCTGGCTTGTAAGGAGGGTGCTCAATAAGTTTCAGTCCAGTAGTGGTCAAATACTCGGTGCAGGCTTTGGCGAGGTGAGCTGGAGCGTTGTCATGGTGGAGGCACCGAGTGTCGATTCTTGACTTTGGCCGCAGGTTTTTCATAGACTCTATGATTTTAGGCAGGTACTGTTCCGTGTACCACTTATCTGTGACTGTCTTCAGTATGTCCAAAACAAAACGCTCCACAATCCTGCTCGATTTGAAAAATACAGCTATCATTTTTTTTGAGCCTTGGTCGGCATATCGTAATAATAGAGCCAAGTCTCGTCACCTGTCACGATGCTGTTCACAAACCGAGATTGTCCCTTATCAAACATCTTCAGTATCTTTAGGCACCAAGTCGTACGAGTCTTTTGCTCTTCCGTCAGACTATGCTTTACCCAAAGAGAACAAAGTTTCCTTACGTGAAAATGGTCCTCCTCTGTTCGTATGTCACTCTCCGGTCTTCGTCAAGCATTGTCCTCACAGCAGTAATGTTTTCCGCTGGTCAATGCTTAAACCACGCGTAAAGTTATACCGTAAAACTGCCCTTATCTCACTTCGTGACCACGATGCCATAGCCTGCACTTTACACTATCAATACTAATGAACAATTAATCATTAGACGTGCTACTGGTGGCTACTATGCACTCATGGACATGTATCAACATGCAGTAACAAGCAGTCTCCTCCTCCGTTTGTTAAGTCATATTGCAAAACTTTTATAGTACCCTTTTGTACATCTTAACTAACTTAGCTAACAAATACCGATAACCAACTTAACTAGCCAAACAATATATCACTAAAATCATTCAGATTCACACAAAACGTGACTTTGTGTGTTGCTTATTATACATTTATAGATAATGGTGCATCTTACCAAAAAACAGAATCTTTCAGTCCCATAATTTTCATCCCTTCCTTTATTTTGTTTTCCTTTTCGCCAACTATCAAAATCAACAAATAGGTGACAAACTGCGAGAGTGACGTCACCATATAGATCGGAATCAGTACCCGAATCACAACCATCCAAGTGCCTGTGTGTGCCTTTTTCGGAAACATTTCCAAAAGCAGTTGCGGAATTTTAAGGTCTGAATTTGTGTCGATCTAAAAATAATACAGATGTAGGAGGGTATTACTTTTGCTAAGTGTTTGTGATTGTTTTATCGGCTAGTAGACTGAGAATGAACTAGTGAAATTTTCCATATCTTTAATATTTTTAGATGTGAGCTACAAAAATACAATTTTAATTCAAATCGTGAAAGGTAATGTATCAAGTAGACAAATCCACAGTCTAAATAGCTGAATGCATACAAATCCATCAAATATGGCGATGTACTTATAAGTCTTTGGATTGTTGATATAAAAATAAACTGTTAAAGGATGTCTTTGTCAAACAGCCTCCCCGAGGCCAAACATTTAAAAAAACAATAAATAAAATTAAAACAGTACATAAAGTTGTCAGATCAAAAAGTATACCTAAATACAAAACTCAGTATCAAGTACAAGTACAGTAGTATCAACACACATTTATATATTAAAACAGTAACTGTCACACAATTTTCCTCTAAAATAGAGTAGTAATATAAGGTAATAGACCAAGCAAAAAAAAACTATAAAAAACGAGTGTATGAAAAAGCCAAGGCACACTCTTTTAAACACTGCGGTGGCTGCAGTGGTAGACGGTCTCCTGATCAGCCGCCGGGAGCTGCGCGGGTTCGAATCCCGTTCCAAGAGAAAAATTTTCTCTTTGCTATGGGCGTTGTGATTGTCCGTAGGTGGTAGACGGTCTCTGACTGTTGTACGCGGAGGTACCACCCGGCGCATCTCGTTAGCAGGGCCAGAATGATTGCAAGCTGCATGCACACGTGTTCCCTCGCTAGAGTCCGTGTGGCGTCCCCCCTTTTCTCTGTATAGCGCCACGGTTACCCCTTGGGTGTTTAGACCTTAGGCCTTGGTGGTAGCTGGAGTAAAAAAAAACAATCATGGTATAGTTCTTTTTTTAATATGTGCATACTCTCATTGCCCTTGCTTCTGTTTGTTTACGTTTTTATATTTTTGGGTTGATTTTTTTCGATTTAGAGCTTTTTCATCTGATAATCTTATGTAGATTTGTTTTTTTTAAACGCACTGTTTACACATATAAACCAAAGGATGACCTAGTGACTGATTACGTTGAGCATTCAGACGAGAACATCTTTAAATATTGTATATTCATATCAACAATTTGAAGACTTATAGGTACATAAGTACACTTTATCTGAAGTCACTTGAAATAGCATAAAAACCTTTGGTCGGCGCGTCCTTTGTAATTTCATGACGTATCATAGGCGTGCGGTCATTTATTTAGAACGATAATAATAATGTTTTTATATCACAATAAATGGATTTTACTATCTTCTTATTTTTTTGATTCGGGATAAAAAATACTTATATTGGGAGTTTAATTTATGTTGACTGAAAGTTAAGAAATGGAAAAATTACAGAATTCCAACGTTTGACATAGGCAAATATTTACATAGCAGGTAGGTATATAAAAAGGTATATAAAGATTTATATATCATCCTCGCCTTCGGAGCTGTCGCTAGAGTCATCTTGTAGAGGAATTACAACGGGATTTACAGGAGGCAAAACACAATATTCATTTTCTTTTTCAATAATATGCCTAGAACACTGCTTCCATAGGTCTGTGGCAGCAATATGAGATACTGCATCTCTTATTGTGGCCAATAGCGATTCACTTAATTGAGGGGTCTGATTATGTATTCTTACTTTTTTTTTAAAGCAGCCCAGACCAACTCAATCGGGTTAAAAATGCAGTAATAGGGAGGTAGACGTAATACTTCATGGCCATTTTGCTGAAGCAGATTGTCAACAACATACTCTTTTTCAAATTTTTGTCTTTTAATAAGATCCAATAATATGGCTTTGGTTGATTTTTTGTGGTATTTCCATTCCCTTATCCTTCATAAAATCAATAATGTCTTGTTTTTTGTGCCTGCATTCGGAATTTTGTTTTTCTGTTGGGAATGGTATGGCGCATTGTCCATAATAATCACTGAATTTGGGGAAATGTTTGGTATTAACTGCAGCTCTATCCACTTTTCAAATAAGTCGGAGGTCATGTCCTCATGATAGTCGGCACATGATTCTTTGATATTTTTGGCAGCTAACAGCAAGGCATTAGGTATAAATCCATTTTCACTGCCAGCATGGAGAATAATGATTCGTTTTCCACGGTTGCATGGTGCATTTAAAATGCACTTGTTGCTGTCGTCAACCCAGCCGTACTGCACAACATCATGGGTATCATACCACGCTTCATCCAGGTAAATCAGATTCCTTTTCTGCTCTCTATAGATTTTAACTTTGTGCAATTCAACGATTCGAGACGACTCCATAATCACCATTCTTTTATCTAATTTTTTGTATTGAAAACCACACAGTTTTACAATACAGTGCAGTGAGTCTAAGCATTTGTAATTATAAAAATCTTCAGGATAATCTTTTAATTTATCCCGTATCATTTCCAACGTGGGCACCAAATTTTCTTTATAAAATCCGTATATTATACGACGAATATCTTCCTGAAAACCCACGTCTATTCTTTTTAATTTTTGACCTATGCGCTTTCTGTGGAAGGAATGGTTGACTACATCTCCCCTTTTTATAACCCGATAAATGGTAGACCGAGCCATATTTAGGACACACAAGAACAATCAACACAACAATTAAATCAACAAGTAAACTGAGTATTCAAAAGTCAAAAACACACAAACTAATAAAATCTATGAAAAAACACGGACAGACTAAAGAAAACACGTTTATTCACCGCTACACGGCACTGGCTAAACTGTTTCAATGTTCAGTAGCCACCTGCACTTGTTCGGAGCTCTGAAATACACGCTTTCTCATTGGCTATGTCCACGCATAGGCGTGCTTTACTCCACGTGGACCGGTGAAACTGCCTTTGATCTTATACGGGGGATATTTGCTGCGAAATTTGGCGATTTTTGCAGCAACAGAGCGTGTTAAATATAGATATATAAAACGCACCCGGTATTTCACAGTGTTTCAAGTGACTTCAGATAAAGTATACATGTTTTGTATTACATATGGGCTTAGTAACTTGACAGCTAGATATTTTGTCTCATACCCGAATTTTCGTATAATCCAGTAAAGCTTGCAGGGCTAGAAATCCTGAAAAATAATACTGATTGACAGGACAACTGTCTCCTCCTTCTATGGCAGGTAAGACACCAGTGAAAGTGTACCATTCCTTGGCCGTACTCCTACATGCTAGTTCTGAACTGTATAGGCTTGTTGTTGGCGGGGTTGCATACAGTGATGGATTTGTTCTAATTTCGTACCTAAAAGAGGTTATACAAATGAAATGGTTATATTAATGAAGTCTGCGATTAAACGTTTTATGTGTCCTGTAGTTTATTGCTTGACCGATAGTGCCGTACCTCTCAAAGGTGGAAAATACATCCCGCAACTTGACAATTTCGTCAGAAAACGCAACTTAGAGCAGTCCATTGCTGCAGCAGTTTTGTGCTGAATCGCAGTAGCCGTAGAATCGCATTTATCATTTGGCAGCAGTTTTCACAGGATAAAACCACTGTAGCTCTGAACCGCTTCAAGGACCTCCAAATTAGCCAATACACCAATTCCACGAGGATCCATCACGCTTTGATGTCTACTGAGGTGAACATCTGATCAGCAAGTGACATTTTTGTGTTTGCGACGTTGGCAATAATGAATCGGGTGTAAATCTAGAAAAACTTGTTTGTAGCGTTTTTTTTGTATGCAAACGGACCTTTCTGAATAAAAGAGTTGTTAGCAAGTACAAAATGAATCTGTAGCGTACAAAAAACCAAAGCAAAATACGTCTCTGACTACCTGACGTTGACGGATCCATCAGAATTGTGTCCTGTGCCGATATGAGGAATTTTGAGATATTACTAGATAATAATATAATAATCACTCGTCAAATAGGGTACATGTTGGCAGTCATAACCTGCAAATGCTCCGACGAATGTCCATTCACTGAGTTGCCAAATGCTCAGCTGGTCACGCTATCGGAAGCTGTAGTGTAGATCTGACTACTTCCGTTAGACTGACACTTTATTTTGGCATTTTACATAGCCTCACTTCCTCCTACCAATGCTTCTGACATATTGGCAGTTGCATTGTCCGCCGTAAAGAAGATATTGAATAAATGAATGAATTAATCTTGAAATTAGAGGCATTCCGGCCACCATAAGGAGCCAGCGCATAGGCCGCTTAAGCGGGCCCTTATGCACCTCTACAATCCTTAGATCACAAGCCTCGCCCTTTTAGCGAAGTTGAGAATCGCCTTGAGTCCAAGCTCCTTGACGTTCTGAGGGTCCAAAGTAATGGACCCCAGTATAGTAGCTCAGAAATTCACAGCGACACAACAGGTGCGCCGAGGCCTCTTCCTCTACCCCGCAGCGTTCATACAACCTATCCTCAGCCACCCGCATCACGTGCAGGTGACGCCTTAACACGTTATGGCCAGACAACAGTCCCACCAGCAACCTTAGGTTGGCTCTATCCAGAGATAGGCAGAAGCGTCCATCCTTAGCACTGGGCCCTTCAATGAGTTCCCTTGCCTGGCGGAGATGTCTGGAGATACTGCTCCATTTCTGAGAGTGTTGTCTTGCAACCCACGTCTCCATTTTCCTCCTAGTTTTATGCGCGGTCACTCCTAGAGCTGGCTCAGGACCAACGAGCTTGCTGGCTGATCCTGTCCTCGCCAGAGTGTCCGCCGTCTCACTGCCTCTTATCCCAGCGTGCCCTGGATGCCTCGCTGCGAGGCAATCCAGAGCCTCCCTGCATTGCAATACAAGACTCGAAGTAATCTTACAGGCACTTAGTGCCTTCATTGCAGCCTGGCTGTCGGATAAGATTGTTATTCTTCTCCTAGGCCCACCCTCCTCCAGAATGTGAGATACACAAGCCAGAATCGGAAAGATTTCCGCCTGAAAAATAGTGGTGTATCCACCGAGAGGCAGAGATAGCCTAGTTCTAGGCCCAGAGATCCCAGCACCTAAGCGCTCTTTGGTGACCGAGCCGTCCGTGTACCAGACCTGCCCGCTCACTCCGGAGAGTGCCCGGCTACCGGCGTCCCACTCCTCCCTGGTTGGATACTCCACAATAAACTTGCGGTTGAAGCGATATTTAGGGGTAATACGATCACCCCTGCTTAGAAGGACGGGGTCCTCCGTTTGCAATTCGACTAAGATAGCAGTATGCCCTTTGACAGGATTCAAGAAAGCCCAGCTGCCCTGACTCCACAGTCGATGAGCGACTACTCTCGCTTCCCCGCAGATCACCAGATCCAACGGTGGGAGATCCAACAGAGCTTCCATTGAACTCAATGGCGTTGTTCGCACTGCGCTTGTAATACTAATACAGGCCAAACGCTGAATTTTAGTGAGTTTGGCCTTAGTTGCCTCAGTTCTAATGCAAGGCCACCAGACCAGGAAGCCGTACAAGAGAGATGGACGTACTATCGCTCACTCACGCTGCAGCTTACGCCATTCAGCATAGCTGTTGCTACCCGACTCTCCAGAGTCGAGAGAAGATATTACGCCGGATCAATTTCAGTACTGTGGGAAGCGAAGCAACATAACAAATACTGGGTGTCTCGGAATAAATTTCCTTTTTGAAGGCTAATAAAAAATTGTCATGAAGTTAAAACCACTGTAGCTCTCAATCGTTTCGAGAACCTTCATGTTAGCTGAAGGCGCTCACTGACTTCAGTGACAATATGTTGGCAGTCATAACCTGCAAATGTTCCGACGAATGTCCGTTCAATGAGTTTCCAAATGCTCAGCTGGTCACGCTATAGGAAGCTGTAATGTAGATCTGACAACTTCCGTTAAATTGGAACTTTATTTTGGCATTTTGCATAGCCTCACTTCCTCCTACCAATGCTTCTGACATATTGCGAGTTGCATTTTCCGCCGTAAACAAGCTATTACGCCGGATCAATTTCAGTAATACTGTTGGAAGGGAAGCAACAGAAAATACTGGCTGTCCAGGAATAAATGCCCCCTTTCAAAGGCTAATAAAAATTGTCTTGAACTTTTAAGATTAATTTATTGAAGCAAATATAGGCAGATTTCATGTTTTAAGAAATATATTCTCGAGGTGCCTTTCATTTCGGTCGAAACACTCCTGCAATGCCGTCTTGATGTAGTTGACAACTGCTAAACATAATTCAGCTGTAAGTGCTCTAATTTCTTCCCGTATTTTATGTTTTAATGCTTGCAGAGTCATAGGCCGGTTAACATAAACTTTACTTTTGAGGTATCCCCATAAAAAAAGTCCAATGGGGTGAGATCTGGAGACCTAGCTGGCCAGTTTAGGTCTTCAAAGCGAGAGATGACCTGTTCCGGGAATAATTGTCTGACGACTGCATTTTATGCGGTAGCGGGTCTTGTTGAAACCATATTTCTTGATCAAAGCCATCACATTCTTGTAGCCGAGGTACCAAAAACTCCCAAAGCATTGCACAATTATGATCATTCGTTACAGTCTGGGCTATGCCACGTTGGTTCTCAAAAAATAACGGACCGATAAGCCGACATTGCACTACACACAATTACTTTTGGGCTATGTAGGGGCCTTTCGTGTTTTTTTATGGATTCTCTGGTCCCCAATAGCGACAATTTTGCTTATTAACTGCGAGTGAAAGGTGAAAGTGCATCTCGTCACTGAACAGAATGTGGTTAGTTCGGTCGTTTGCAAAAAAAAACGGTTTATTATTGTTTCGGGGAAGGAACGACGGTTTATGAAGTCATTTGGGCTTAATTCTTGCACTATTTAGATCTTGCAGGGGTGAAGCTTTAAGTATTTCTTTAAAATTGTATAAAAAGATGATTTATGTGATGTTCTACGAACAGATCCACTTGGATTTTGAATTATAGCGGCGCGTACAGATTCAACATTCTTAGGAGTAGTTACAGTCCTTGTATGAATAGGACGTTTCACATTTAAAGCTGACGATGTCTCTCAAAACCTGTTCAGCCACGATTTCACTAAATCTTTACTTGGTGCGTCCTCCACACGTCTAATATTGAAGTGAGTACAAAACATTCGTTTTGCAATTGTGTACGAGTCATTGTTCTTGAAATATGTCTCAATAATGAACGCACGAGGCGTACCAGACTAACGCTCCATTTTTACTAAATAATCCACATCGAAGGACGCTACGCCAACCGAAGTTACACTGTTGCCAAGTTATTCGAGTTTAAAAAGGAAAATTTATTCCTGGACACCTTCTATATTATAGCCGCTGCTTGCTAAAGGCAACAATAACTAAAAAGATAAAATATATTGATGACGCCTAGTCAAAGTATGACTTACTTGAGTTGACCTTCAATTGGCCCGGGATCATCAAATAGAACTGCTATAGGTATACTTTCGGGGTTCATCCAGTAGGCCCGTAATAAATCCTTTTCAGTTTCAAAAGGAACCCAAGTGATCATGGATATGTTTCTTCCGTTATTTATGGAGTCCCATAGGCTAGTTACTTTTCGTAGAAATTCCTGAAAAGAGTCAGAACAAAATGAAAAATACTATCAAGCAGCATGATAGACAGTATTTGAAGTTTATTACAGATTAACGGCTAATGGCAAATACAATTTTATGTCTATTTCATTTTTTTGGCAGGTTGCAAAAACCATTCTGGTACTAACCATTCAGTGGATGGTGGAAAACAGCGTAAAAATAATAGGTAGGTAGTGTTTTGCTTCCATTTGAAAGGATTTAGGAACTACAACAATTTATTTGAAGAAAATGCAGTTTTAAGCTTATCTTTTAAATTTTTCCCTGAAAATGGACCTATACGTACAACGTTGTAGCGATCTTTTTTAATTGCCATTGATGTTTTATCATATATTCTTTCTATAAACAACTGTTTTTTTAGTGGCTCACTCGTCTGACTAGTTCCACCAACGGAACAAATGACTCTTGGTTTGGTGAAAGCTTATTGTGTTTCGTTACGGATATTCGGAAACTGACTACAGAGGTTAACATTTAAGAGTTATCATTGGACCATATATGGATATCCTATGATATTTGAGGTCTCTGAACTCAATGCCTTGGTCAGTTGATCCCTATCACGTCAAATTCAAGGTCATTTTCAAGGACAAATTAAAAAAATGCCTAAAAAATAGTAAAATTGTATATTGCACTACTTTGGGATGCTGAATCCAAATATGGAGTTGCCTGGCAAGCCTTGGTCTTAAAAAAACCTTAGGTTGACCTTAAAATCATCTTTGGATGTCCTTGTCGGTTAGAACAAATTAATGTATCTACTACACAAACCGATATATGGAGGTTTTCAGATAAATGCGAACATTTTTACACTCGTAGCCGTAACCTTAATTTGGCCTCGCATGTTAAACGTATTCAGCAATCTTGAAAACACAACAACCTGTGTTACAAACTTTGGCATTGAAATAACTTAATTTGACCTTAAAATAATTTCTAGGTATAACCCCGCTAGGCTATATGAATGCCGTCAGATTTGGATTCACTGACCCAAAAGTATGTGCACAAAAGTTTTTCTAAAATTGAACTTGAAATGACCTTAATCCTAACGTGATAGAGGTCAACCAACCTCGGCATTTCCATCCCAAAAATAATAAGATATCCTCATTGGGTCCAGAGATAACACTTAGATCAAATGTTGACCTGAGTAATATTCTTTAAATAAGCATTTTTCAAAAATCAATCAATCAAGACGAACATAAGGATATGTCAAATACCAAAACCCGTCAAGCCGTTTGCGCTGTAGAATTTTTTGTCCACATTCATACATTATCATTATTGATATTATTTGTTCCTTCTTTGCATTGTAAAACGTACTTTTCATTTTGTCTCGACTTAGAACCCATTCAAATAAAACATTTTAAAAGCCTTTTCAACTCACGAAAAACATAACCCTCCTTCTGAGATATTCGGGTAACAAAAATAGAATGGTCTTCAAATGCTACTATAGACTAAAACATCAGTTAATGAGGTAACAGCAACAACTTTCCATATGTTCTAATTATAAGATTGAAAAAGCACTTGAGTTTACCATGGTTTGTGTGGTGTTAGGCACGATCGCTATAGTATGGTTGTTTAACATTCTGAAGTGCTCCAAAAGCTCCGCTTCTCCCCGTGGGGTGTCGATCTCAGGCAGATTTGGATTTGGCAACACCAGCTTCATTATTATTAAGATAGAGAGAGAATACAAGGGTAGCAGCACTTCCTGAAATAGAAACGATAATAAATACAATGTACGTTAACTTGCGAATTTATTGGCCACCAGGAATCAAAAAGTCAAATCTAGCGGTACGAACATCTTCTACATTAATCTCCACCATACACCTGGATACAAACCACCCGGACATCATATTAATTATAAAAATACTGCAAGTCATCAAATGTTTCCCTGAAGCATTTTTCCACTTTTACTTCAATCTTGCTGTATCTATCGTACTATTAAAAGCTCCAAGAAACTTAATAATTCCTCGTATAAAGTTTGAATTCTTTTGAAAATAGTATCGCGCTTCTCTCTCGTACACATTGAACTCAACCCGTCAGACAATTTGGTTTTCTCTGTATACCCAAAAAACCCTGCTGCACCGAATATCATATAAATGTGGTAGCAACTTCATTGTATGCCAGCTGTTTGGTGTTCTGGACAATACTAACCACACAAAAAATGCTTGCTAGATATATTTTGAGTTTTTATATGTATTGCGGTTTTGATCTTGAGGCGTACCCCACAAACAGAAACCATATTGTTGAATGTTGTGGTTATTTCAAAGTTATACACTTGAATTGAAAAGTCGTTTAATATAATAAAAAGAAAAACAAGGTCCAACTTGGCAAAGCCAGAACAACTTCTAATTGCGGGAATAAACCCACGCAGAAGTTCGTTAATTAATTTTACGTAGCAATTATTTTTTATACATTTGAAATCTCGCCATGATTCATGTAGAAATCCAATATATACTAAGTGACATATAAATCCGAACACCCAGTTTAAATGGTTTTATTTTAATAAAATTTTGTATAAGTACTTAATGAAGCATAATAAGTAAATGATAAAAATTTCAAAATGATTGCACTGCTTTAAAGCCCTTTGACCTTTAATAATGTGTGGATGCACCCTGATGTGCTGCGCATTCTCCAACGCGCCTAGGTATGCTTCTGATCAGGTGGTCAATGTCCTCCTGTGGCATCTCATTCCAGGCAACCACCAACTCCTCTCGAAGTGCTTCTAGAGTCTGAGGAGGACGTTGCAAATTGAGCATTCTCCTACCCATCATATCCCACACGTGCTCAATTGGCGATAAGTCGGGAGATCTTGGTGGCCATGGTAAGAATGTGACATCATTATATTGAAAGAAGTCTATTTTGTCTCTTGCAACATGTGGTCGGGCATTATCTTGTTGGAAAGTTGGATCTGCCAGGGTGTCAAGATAGGGTAAAAGATGGGGTTCTAGAACTTCATGGATATAACGCTGCGCGTTCATGTTACCTCTGATGAAGATTAAAGGTGACCTGGAACCATAAGCCAGAGCACCCCAAACCATAACTGCAACAGTGTGATGAACATGTCTTTCAACAAAAAACTGTGGATTCCTCCTTTCACCACGTCGCCTTCTAACCCTGGCACGACCATCGTGCATGCCTAAACAAAATCGAGACTCGTCAATAAAAACAATACTGTTCCATCCTGATCCCAGAGTAACCGTTGTCTGCACCACTCAAGGCGAGTACGTCGGTGTTCTCGAGTTAAAGGGAGGACCCAGTGTGGCCGGTATGAAAACAAGTCAAATCTTCTCATTCGTCGGTAAACACTTCGCATGCCAATAGGTCTTCTGTGTTCTGCAAACCATTCATTTGCAATGGACCTGGTAGTGGAGAAACGGTTCCTTAAGGTCAATAATCTTAGGCGGCGATCTTCACGGTCTGTTGTTCTACGGCGGCGTCCAGTGCCCCTTGCTCTTTGCGTACGGCCTTCTCGAAGCCATGCCTGACAACATCTAACCACAGTGTCTACACTTCTTTGCACTCTAACTGCAATTGCCCGAAAAGAAAGTCCAGCTACCCGAAGTCCCACTATACGGCCCCTATCAAACTCACTAAGTTGACGAAATCGTACAGGTCTCCGTACTCTAGGCATCGTAACTGATCATAAAGGATGTCAAGAACCAAAATCCGCCAACGTTGATTCTTTACTGCGGCTGAAATATTCATTTTTAGAGCGTTAGTGAAATAAAAAAAAGCAGTATAAAAACCGGAATGTCCAACTGATAAGGCTGAAAATTTTTTCACTTGTTATTTACAGTAAGATAAATACATTCACCAATTTTTATTAAAATAAAACCATTTAAACTGGGTGTTCGGATTTATATGTCACTTAGTATAAAACGAGTATAGCGAGTTAAACATCAACAAAAAAACCTCAGCAAAGAAACCGTTTGGAAGAAGTTACACAAGATTTGAATATGCGAAAGATTTTTGTAAAGATTCTCATTACTCTCATTACTCGTTTACTGAGTAAAATATTTTGGTGGAAAAAAATGTGTTATAACGTTGCCGCATAGACTTTATAGTCACGATATTAGTCTCCGAGTACTTCCCCAAAATCAAATTTCATCTCAATGGAATTCACCTTGACGCCCTAAAAGAGGCCGAAAAGCTGTCACCGTGGTGATTACCTACTCCGAGTTCTGCTGTGCTATGCTGCAATTCGATCTTCGATCATATCAAAGCTACTACAATTTAGAATAAATTAATCACGTCCAAATGTCAAACCCCAGACTGAAACAGCGCTTTCAGTCAAGACATCCATCAGGTGGTAGACACAGTGCAAAATACCTTGATTTTATGGGTGGTTGTCGTGCGTAATGTAATATGATACCGTCGAAGGTCATGGAGAAAAAAGCCTCCATTCTCCATAGACCGCACCTATGAGTCTACATAAAATAAAGCCATCGCCTTACTAATCTTTGGTTTCCATTAATGAAGTAATGGGCCGCTAAAAGCTACAGTGTTCTCAGGTCGATTGTGTGGAAAATTTATACAGGGTAATGACGTGTTTAAGGTTAAAAGCTATTTTCGAGAGGGATTGTTTTTTCGACTATGTACATTTAGGTTAAATGCTTTCTCAGTGCAGTTTTATCAATTGTGATAGTTAGATCCATTATACTGGATCCGCCGTTTTGGAAACGTATATACATATATACGCGAGTAGTAGTCATTGCTATTGCCAACAACCAGTTGGGCTCATTTTCGCCATGTGAAACAGATGTAGGAGGTTAGAAGGGACTTTTCCGTTTTTCCCCCCAAAATTACAGTTCGATAATTTTTAATGTGTTCGGGTGTATTGATATATAGTGTTGACACCTAACGATGGTTTCCGTCGTTATCAATAAACCCAATGTGTCCGTCCTTTTGGTTTTATAATTGCAATAAGTGATCTGATACACGGTTTCGTTTTGAAACACCATTTAGCTGCAACCTCAGCGACGACTGCTGAAGATGGTTCCATAGAGAAACCGAAAGCTCGAGATTACCGTTAAAAGAGTTTTCTGATGCCAAAAATTTTTTTTTTGATTATTTCCCAATTAACAATTGATTGTATTTATATATACTTCGAAGTTGAGTCATTTATTTTAACAGTGAGTAGATCTGATCAAAAGAAATGTTTTTTTCCTATAATATTTTTCTGGTAAAATTAAAGCAACAAAGTTATAGCCCTTTAGAAGTTTGAGTTCCGCCATGTCTCAATAATGATATTATGTACTCGTGTTTGGCGACAACAGATATAATCCGCCTTATCGGTTCATCGCATCGGAAACAAAAAAGCGAAAGAATTTGAAACGCTTATGTTTTTACTACAATTTCATTCAGTTGTATTCAGTCAATGTGTCAGTCGGTAACGCGTGAGTGAATAGAGGTGTTTGTTGCGTGGCTCAAACGAAATAAAAAATGGCACATGTTTACGAAAATCCTGAACTTGTGGACATGATTCTTATTTACAAAATGCTGCCGCGGCATCACGGATTTCTGCGGATCGGTTTCCCGATCGAGTGCAACCAACCCCTCGTGTCTTTGTTAATGTAGTACAAAGGGCTCTTGAATCAGGTGACTTAAGACCTCACAGGGGAGGGCATGCCGGTGCTCCAAGACCGCACGATCAAATACAGGTCCGCACTGACATACTTGTCGGGATAAAACAAGGTAACATTTTTTTTATTTTTTTTACACACATATTTTGGTTTATCTTCCTTCAACAATCATTATCTGAAAATTAATGACTCAACTTCAAAGTCACCCTGTATATATACAGGGTGACTTCGAAGTTGAGTCATTTATTTTAACAGTGAGTAGATCTGATCAAAAGAAATGTTTTTTTCCTTTACCATTTTTCTGGTAAAATTAAAGTAACAAAGTTATAGCCCTTTGGAAGTTTGAGTACCGCCCTGTCTCAATAATAATATCATGTGCTCGTGTTTGGCAACAACGGATATAATCCGCCTTATCGGTTCATCGCATCGGAAACAAAAAAGCGAAAGAATTTGGAACGATGTTTTTACAATTATTTTATTCAGTTCAGTTATACATACAGTTAGTGTCAGTCGGTAACGCGTGTGAATAGTGTATGTTGCGTGGCTCAAACGAAATGAAAAATGGCACATGTTGCGGATCGGTTCCCAATCGAGTGCAACCAACCCCTCGTGCCTTTGTTAATGTAGTACAACGGGCTCGTGAATCAGGTGACTTAAGACCTCACAGGGGACCTCACGATCAAATACAGGTCCGCACTGAAATACTTGTCGGGAGGATACTCTATAAAACAAGGTAAACATTTTTTTTTATTTTTACACACATATTTTGGTTTATCTTCCTTCTACAATCATTATCTGAAAATTAATGACTCAACTTCAAAGTCACCCTGTATATATATACTCGTATATATCAGGGTGTCCCGAAAAAAGTGCGCAATATTCTACCAGCGGTTTCTAGAGCTTAAAATAGGAAGAAAAGTCTATATAAAAATAGGTCGACAAACGTCCCCTAAGGGCGCTACTGTCTTTTAAAGGGGCTCCGCTGAAGATGTTTTTTCCTTAATATTTCCGAAACGAGTTGAGATAAAGACATAAAATTTGGTATTCTAGCCTAGTTTTTTATGCTGGATTTAAAAATATTAAAAATTTTAGACAGTTTTGTTTGGAAGCGTATGTAACAGGG